GCCATTGTGCAGGCGTGAGCTCACCATTATCGTTGTCATGAATATCGCCAGCAGTGCCACCCTATATCGAGGCTAGGTTGCTGCACAGAAAACTTTCGGGAGTCTGGCATGCAGTGATGCCAATCCTAGATATTTATTTCTAAATCTATGGATTTTCACCATTTTCTAGGAATTTGGCATCTTTTTTGTTGGGCCTAGGGATCTTATTAGCGCTCCGTAAATGTCATATTATGCAGTCTGATTAAAGGCATTACTTAGTAATCATGTTATTTAAACTAGAAAGGCCGTAAAAAGGGATAATTTTGGCCAGTTGATGTTCTTCTTTTTAAGACGTACTTGGGGTTATGCTGGCAGGAGTGAAGGGGACAGCAGTTCTGTAACTCTAGATTGTTATATGTTGAATGTTGGGAAAATGAAAGTTAGTTTCGTAATAGTTGAGCATGCAAGATGAATTTTGTCTTGTGCACTTAAACACACCAGGTTTACGCTCACTTTGTGCCTTCGCTGAGCAATGTCTTCATGGGAAATAACCAGGAGGCTCAGAGGGGAACAGTGGGAAAGTAGTCTTGAAAATTGGGTAAGGTTGTACAGGTTCAATAGACGAGACTTGTTGGGATTTTTTCAGTCTTTCCGTCCTACCCTTTAAGTGAGAGTGTAAAAGTGACGAAAATATTTGGCCGAACAGGGAGCTGATTGAAAATACAAAGGAAAGTCATGCCTACACCATCCAGTAAAAGAGGACCAACGTACTACATCTACTGAAAATAATGCAACAGTAGTTGTAAATGTGGAAAATTAAGCATGGGCTGCCATCTCAGAAGTTGCAGGCACAGGAAAGGCTCTACAGACTTGCAGTTGACCCGAATTATCACATTTATGTCTTCAGTGTGTGTTTAAAGTGAACTTGACAGACAAATATGTATGTGGCAATACTGCAGTGCCATCTGCAAGCAACTGATTTGGAACTCCACAGTACATGTAGGAAGAAAAACCATAGAGGTGGTTAATATGGTTCTTTCTACTTTTAACAAGATGTAGAACAACTTGGTTTCAACAAGATACAGAACAACTTAACAGTTAATCAGCCTAAATAATGTCTTTAAGAATATAATCTGGAGACTTTTCTTGTAATCTAGAGAATTTTCAACGGTCAATCTAGGGATAAAACATTGTCTTATGTTGGCATCACTGCTGGCGTGTCGCGGCTGGCGTGATGGTTGTTTGCTGCCAAGGGTCCGCGGGATACGGCAACCGTGGGTCGTGTCCCGTGGGTCGCTCACGGTGAGTCGAGCATCCATGCCAGCTGCCAAATGTTCAAGATACCCGCTCATGCTTTCTGTGCGGCCACTTAGGCTTGCCGCCGAGCGGCTCTGCTGGCGCTAACCATCATGATGACGAACCCGCGCGAACTCTGCGCCACCTACCGTTTGGCGGTCAAACCTAAATGCGGCCCATCCGCAAGACACGAGGCGCGGACTACATTACATGGGGTGATAGCACCCGCACAGCTCACATGATACACACAGTGACATCCATAGCAGCAGCATTAGGTCACGGCAGATCGCTGATTGCTTTTATCAGGAAGTTTATATGCTTTGATTTGGATCATGACCAGTAAGGCCTGAACACTTTTTTTTATATTTATATTTTTATGGCCTATTCTGCTGAACATGTAGCCTACCAAAACTTTACTGATCCATTGCTATGTTTAAGTCGCAACCGATTCTCATAGAATGCTGTTCTCGGGGGCCCAGAGACTACGTTTAAAATATTTGGTACAAGTGACGCATGCATTTTACCTTTCCGCTTGAAATAGTAGGCTTAAAATGAGTCTCTTGCGGTAGGTAGCAAAATTATGCTCGCTCCTTCAGTAAATGCACATCATGGTGTATCCACATAGCACCACTCATTTGCCATTTGGTGTTAAAAAGCAGTAGTAGCAATAATCAGTTATTGCTTTACGAATGTTTTCCTAATGCTAGCCGCATAAGTGAGATCTCATTAATACGTACAGTCTGTTTTACATTTAGGAGAAATCTCGGTGCACATGACATTGCGGTGTGGCCAACGGTACAGTCGCATGTAAGCAGCAGCAATTGCACCTGCGCAGACACTTGAGGAACGTAGCTATAGGGTTGAACCGCGTTAGCTGTCTGCTACTGCGACACGCGACTGTGCCATGCGTGTGCCATGCACTCCGAGATGCCCCCTAAGTGTGAAACAGACAACCTGGCTGCCAGGAACGCGGCATACTATACAATGAACGGTAGTGCGTGCGCACAGGAAGAGGGGGGGTGGCACAAAGTCAGCCCCACACATTGGCATTATAGGGAGGGAATGCTGATACTCGGGGAGGGCAATGCAAGCGGACGTGCAAACTTTAAAGTTATGCAAAGAACTTAACTGGGATCTCACTTTGATGCAGTAGACTTTTGCCCCTCCTTTCAGCTTGTTAATGGCCAAACGACCTCGACTACACAAGGATAGGGGGCTAAAGAAGGAGGGGGTGGCACTTATCGAATATCGCTGAACATGACTGGATGCTTTTAGTGTAGAAAATGTTGGCACAAATGCGCTAGCGTACTTGTGACGGAAAATTCCATCAGCTAAATTTTTTCAGATGCAAGACGTGCGCAGATGTATTTGAAAGCAAAGGCAGAGCCGCCCGAAAATGGTGAAAGCACGGAAGTCGCTCTCAGTGGAAGCTGCACAGGTGAACACAGGTTTCATTGTGTCAATGCTTACTGATGTATGCCGAATGGTGTGTGAAACATGAAGGAAGGTATGTTTTCTTAAGCTTGAAGAAAATTGATGGTTTAGTTTCTGCTGAAAGAGCTATCACAATAAACAAAAACTCGGCTGTGGTTGCCGGCGCTAAAGGAAAAGATCTGTCGTAATGCTTTTACAGCTCTCATGAAAGTGCCAAGAAGCTGCAGCTCAGCTTTGCCAATTTTGAACGTTGCAGTACCCTTTCTTCGCCACACCAAGGCTTCGAGCGTGTGTACAGATTTTGACGGTCGAGTCTGTCCATCAATTCCAACTTCAAAGACGGCTGTCAAGTCTAGGAATATCTAGAGAATATTCAGCATTGTGCAGTGCTTTTGGAGAAAGCCAAACTTTACTGGGCTATAGCAAGGGCCTATCATGTGAAAGAAAAAAATAAGGCTAAAGATCTTAAAAAACATGTGTCATTTTTGACGCTGCTGCACATCAACATGCACAGGTGCTGTAATCTGGCTGCATGAACATGCATTGACACAGCATCAGATAACCTACCAGAAGTTCCCCTAGAAAGCAGCTACATGTTATGGTCATAAATTTAGGTATTTGAACGTGAGTGCTATAATGGTAGTGATCTTCATAAATCGAATGTAATCCTACTTTCGTTATTTGCTCCAAGCTTCTTGATATTTGCTTGTTATTCTGCATTCTCAGCCATATTCATTATTCTTGTTAGCTTGTCTTCACTTACTAAATTAGAAAATACTTAATTCGCAGAATCGCTTGGCGTAAAACAGAATTCTATGCAATCAGGCAATGAGCGATGAGACATACAGACTGTTAAGAAAACATGTCCTTGTGATTACTTTGTACCTCTCTTATATCTTTCTCTACCACACGTTGCTGCGCTGGGAACACAAAAATAGTGAGTTGACTCGTAAAACACAAATGACCACGTTATTCCTCCCGACAAGCTGGACAGCTAACGTGCCGCAGCATGAATGCTACAATATCGTATGAAATGAAAATATGGGCAAGCTTTAAGCATTCGTGAGTGTTTCATTCGTAGCGCTTTGTCGCTCTCAAAATATCCGCATGTTTAGGCAAGGTTCTATTTGGCGTTGCATAAGTCTGTTGCCAGACTTTGGGGTGGTTGTTGCCAGACTGCCGCTAAATTTGGCAGAAAAATTTTCTGTAGTTGTGGCTGTTTCGTAAGAGTTTGGTGCTATCCGCGGAAGCGCAGCGTCCCCCGTCGTAGCGCGCGGTCGACGCGACACGATCAGCTGAGAGAGAAAAAAAAAAAGAAGAGTAAGGGGGAAGGGGGGCAGCGCATCCCCTCCTGCGACTCTAATCAGTTTTCCCCGTAATCCCTAATACTGAGACGCGATATCTTAATCGCACAGCTGCGCACACAGCAAGAGAACGCGCCTCGACTTCTGTAATGGGAGGTTTATTCCGTTAATTAAAACGGCCTTTTAATTGCACAGCAGCGCCACGCTCGACTTCTGCTAGGCTCGGTTCCTTCCGTTAAATAAAACGGAATTGAACCGGCCTCTTAATTGCACGGCAGCACCGCGCTCGACTTCTGCTAGGCTCGGTTCCTTCCGTTAATTAAAACGGAATTGAAACGGCCTCTTAATTGCACAGCAGCACCGCGCTCGACTTCTGCTAGGCTCCGCACCGAAGAAGTGCACCGCGGATAGCACCAAACTCTTGCGGAGAAGCCACAACTACAGAAAAAAAATTTCTGCCATATTTAGCGGCAGTCTGGCAACAACCACCCTTCCAGTCTGGCAACCACTTATGCAACGCCAAATGGAACCTTGCCCATGTTTATATAGAGAACGCCTAATGTGTCTACTGCAGATGCTTGTGTTAGAAATGTTTACCATTAAACTTCAGTACATACACTGAGAACCGTCAATTCTTTACGCAAGCACAAACTCGTCACATCGAAACAGCCGCGCAATGCAGTCCGGCGCACCATCAGCACGTGGCAAAGAGAACCATTCAGACTTCGTGCCGAGCTCCAAGCTGGGTCCACCTTCATTTATGCAGTGTTTGTAGCGGGGAAGCTTTGAATATGCATCTTGCTAACCAAATTCTTGAGATATGAAGTATGGACTGCTTCAAGTAGGCAGCGCCGTTCGTCGGACACGGCGCGCGGGACAGACGACGTGCAAAGTATGTCACGTGGCCCGGTCGCAAAACGATTGCAGCGTCCTCACATTTCCAGAGTGAGCGGCCACGCCCTTGGCGAGCCCACGCAGGAATTTTATTCCTTCCTTCATGTTACAACGCTAGGACCATGGCAACAAAGACATGGAGGAACTTTCTGCCAACGTTTATAGATACTTCTCCTATCATAGAGTTTCCTAAATATTGTCCTCCACGGACTAAGGTAAACGTTTCAAGCCAAGTGAAGTCGCAGGGGAGTCGGCTGAAAAACGACACGTGACTTGTCAGCGCGAGTAGACGTGAGCACGTTGTCGCGTTGTTTTAAAACATTTCGAAAAGTTTGGAAAGGTTCGAGGTCGTGTGGTGAAGTCCTGAAGAGAGCTTTTGACGACGTCGAAAAGCCCGGCTGAACAGGAGGACACTGTCATGGACGAAGAAGCGAGAATGAAACTGCTAGAAAAGCTTCAACAAGAAGAGGAGGAATTCATTGCCGGTTTAAAACCAAGTAAATATCGGGATGGCTGGAAAGAAGAAACGTGGGAAAAGGTGGGCGCACCAGCGAGTCGTTTTTTTTTCTTTTTCTATGATCAAACCTACACGACATCGGTTATTAAAATTGATTTAGTTAAACGCGAACGGAGCGAAACTGTCAAATCTGTGACCAGCTACAGCAACCCGCAACTTCTGTCGTCGCGGTTGTTTTTTGCTCTCGTAAAATTAGTAGTGGGCAAATGAACACCGGAGATCAATGAGTATGATGAGCCCCTACGCTACGATTACGATTGCAAGCCATCGTGCTGCCAAAATGGCAATTTTACGGTACTTCATGCTATCCGAAAGTAACTATGTTGTCGGCACTCTGACAGAGTAGGCTGCCCGGAATGTTGGCGGTGTTGCGCCCCCATTGGTCGGCTGCAGTCGTATTATCAAACTGGTGGCATTTATTTTTTTTTTTCAACTGTGGTAATGTGTTTGCTTTGTCGCTGTTGGCACTGGCTCTCACAGTATTGATTTTTGCGAAATATTTAGGACCTCGAAGCAGCACGGCGTGGGACACCACACGGCCCGCAGTAGCGGTACCGAAAAACTAAAAAAAAATAAAGGAGAGAAACCAAAAAACTGATTGTGGTTGGCTTGTGTCACCAGATTGAGGGCCGGTGGAGTAGCCAGGGGGTGGCATACCCCTCCCCCCAACAACGTTTCTTTTTTTTTTTCTTTTTTTCGCTGTAGAAAAAAAAATGCGAGAAATGACACTCGACCACATCTGAGTTGCATACTGGCACTTGAGATCAAAGTGATGCCCCAACTCCCCCCGAAAAAAAGTTACGCAGAGGGTTAGTAACCTACGCCGAGCCGCGTCGTAGTTTCTTGCTTTCTTTAATTTAGCTTTTCTGTGGCTAGAGTCTGCAGTACCAGCAACTAGCAATTTGGCCACATTACTGCAGCTATAGCCAGTGGGGGCGAAAAACTGACCGGCTGCTGGCAATGTAGACAGTTTCACAGAAAGACACTGCTAAGAGCGTCATTCCCCATTTGAAGATGTATCAAATCAAACTTCTCTCTGAACTTCGGTCTTATTTGTCTGTGTGTTTTTTTTTTTTTTTGAGCTACACAGTGCGTGTAGTGACTGATCGCAATGTTGTGTACATTTGTTTCACAAGGTGCCAATTGCCTTGTCGAAAGTGGGAAGGATGAAGCTGACTCAGCATCGGTGGCTACTCTTCAGGCTCACTTTGCCCATCTAAGTGCACAGTTTTCATGATTTTAGTGCAGTCTTGCAGTTCCTAGTGGTTTACATTCTGGCTCAAAGTACTTAATTACAATTTATGTGTATCTATTTCCCCACCCTAGTGCAGGGTAGCAAACTGGACGCTAATATCTGGCTAACCTCCTGGCCTTCCTCATCAGCTCTCTGCCTCTCTTTCATGTGTATCTCTATGCAGCAGTGTCGCTGTACCTAAGTGAATACACTTGTTATTTGTTGCAGGAAATGGAAGAGCACCCACTTTTTGCCAAAAGCCTTCCGGACTCAGGGGAGTTGCCACCTCTCGTAGAAGCCATGCAGCAATTGAAATATGATACTGAACTGAATGGTCCAGAAGGTAAGCCTTGATGTGATGTTGATGCATTGATGTTGCATATTTTTTTGCTTTTTGTTTAGCTTTTTTTATAGTTTTTGTCACAAAGTCGTAATCAGACACTAGAGCTGTAAAGGGGATGCTGGACAAAACTTCTGATGTCGATATTTTCAGCCATACAGAAACATTGCAGGCTGAAATTGCTCGACACAACCTTTATTTCACATAGAAACTAGCGGGCAATAATGAATTTCATGTGTTTTTCACAAACAGTCACATCTAGCAGCCACACCATGACCCATGGGAGGTGACGTTTGGTGTCGTTTGTAGACTGACAGCGAGATTTTTGTTTCTAACTTTTTGCTGTAATTTGTAGCTTTGTGTCTGCTAATGTAGAAGTTGAAACCTAAGTGCACTATTGCATCATATAATTAATGATAGCATCATTAAAGACATACTGAACAAAGTTCTTGCTGCCAAGATTTTGAACCGAATTGAGGGATGGCGGTCACAACCTTCATTTCAGGCAGAAACTAGAAGAAAATAATGATTTTAATGCCTTTGTCACAAACTGTCGCGTTCAGAATCTGCGCCATGAACTAGAGTAGGTGACGTTTTGGTGATGTCACATACACCCAAAATAGGCAAGCCAACAATGCCAGCCGTCGCCCTTGTCAATCAACCTGCTAAATTCCCCCAATAGTTCTCAGAACAACTATGAACAGTGCCAGTAGTAAACAATGCTCCCAGTTGGGGAAAGCATCAGCGCTTTTGTAGAGGGAGAGAGGGCGATGGAAGGAGAGGTGGAGAAAAGGAAGATGAGCACAGGAACACGTGCTTCCTGCATGTGCCTCGGCAGTTTTGATGTCACAGCTCGTGCTTGTGCGCTGCCAGCTCACGCTGACGATCAATCGAAAATACAACCAACTGTTAAAAAAAAATATGGGAACTGAACCTTGTTTATCAGAACCGTCGCATCTTCCGAGTAGAATTTTGAAGTTTTCGTCAGTTTTTCGAATTTTCGTTCAGTATCCTTTTAAAGGGACACTAAAGTCAAATAGCACTTAACATCAGAGTGAAAGGTCAATGTATGACAGCATCTAAAACGACAATATTATCAACAACAGTGCCCTACTTACCGAGAAATTAAGATAAGTGCACAAGAACACATGCGCCGCAGTAAGACATTTTCGAAATGATCCGGATGACATCAGATGAACCGCGTACAATTAATTACTAGTAATTGAGCTAGCTGCACAAAATAAAAAACCTTATGTGCATCAAGAGACGCAATAAAATGCTGTTTGTTTGTTTCTGTTTGATTCATGAAAAAGAAACGCCAGACGTTACTATGTGAAATGGCGCGAGTGGTTAAAAAATTTCATTTTCACGTAGTTATGCTGAACAGGTGGTGCCAGCTAGCGGGGCATAGTTGAACCAAAAAACAACTGCAGTCTTGGAGCCAATGGCGGGAAAATGATCAGTGGCGGTTGTTGCTGATGTGGCCCGCGCTGCTTTCGGTCTGCTGCTACTAGCGCAGTAAAGACAGGTAACGTGCACGGCAACAATGACGCGGGTCAGTCCGGTTGGTGCGCTTCTTGAGGTGGGTAATTTGAAGTGTGCTAATTTGATTCGAATCACTAAAGCGTGATTTTATTTCAAAATAGGTTCTTTCTTGGTACTAAAGTAACACTACGAGGTTTCTGGACCACTATTTCAACAATCAACATCGACTTAATAGTTGCCTTTAGTGTCCATTTAATTGCAACCAATCTTATGTCACTTGGAAATGCCTGCCTAAAACCACGAGAAACTAGCCCCGCCCAGTAGGGGAATGACTAAGACCACTGGCACTCAAACTTTTGTGTCGTTGAAAGCATAGTTGTCAAATCTTGTCCTCATGAGCATGATACGACGCAGGTGCTTCGGTATTTTGCGAGTCCACTCTGCAAAAAGAAAAAGCGTTCTTGTCTTGAGCAACGAAAACTACCTCGAGAACAGAGTGAGAGGGGTAAAGAACAATAGCTCTCATTGGGTGCCAGTGATGGTATCGTCCTCACTCTGTAAATGTTCTGGGACATTGGCAACACTCACTTTATGCATGGAACATCACACAGGGCCTCAATTTACATAATGTTACTGGCAGTGTTGTTACGTGCTGTGAACTCGGGTCAGCACTCGCACTTATTTATATATCTTAAAGCTAACATTTGCGTCTAATGATTGGTCAGAAGTAAAGCTGAGTGAATAGTGAAATTTAGGTCGCAACGAAAATTAAAATATATTGGAATATTGAAATGTGAGTGCGAATCAAATAGAATATTTTTTAAATGTTTCTCGAATACTTCTAGAATAATTTTCGAATGCTTCAAAGTGAAATTGCAGGGGAAAAAAACAGTTGGAAAGGATTTCTAAGCTTATTCTTATGAGATAGCAACATGAAATGTTTAAAGAGGGGGAAAAAAATACTTAAAGTGTTTTTTTTTTTTTTTTTGCTAGGTTGATGAAGTGCAGGCAGCGTGGTGTTTCATAGTTGTTTTACCAAGAATGAATTAATGCAGATACCGAATCGTATTTACGTACAGTACTCACGGACAGGACATTTTAGGGCTATGTAAAACGCATTTGCTTTCATTTTCATCTTCAGTTCGAGTCATATCGGCGTAATAGATCAAAGCGGACATTTTGTTTGGAGACCGGGTTTGTTGCGACATAACGCAGTTATCTAGAGAAATAGCGCATACCAGTCTTTATACCAGAAAATCCCCGAGTACTGTACATGATTTGAGGCAACCAAAATGTTGCCGACAACACTTAGTCTGCACCCCATCAATCCCATTATTGCCCGAGGAAATTAAGTGTCTATGGAAGCAGTTTTCATAAGCTGTCTCAGGTGTGTTGGTCGCCTATCTGCGCTATGTCCAGTGGTGTAGAACTATGCGAGTGGTGAAGTGTATTTGTAGGTGATGCATTTGTTTTTCCCAGTAAGTTGTTGAGAGTCAGCGCTATGTGCTTTCCCTTTCTATGTGTCCTGTGGTTTTTCGCTATGTTTTCTAATTATGTACAGCCAACAAGCCCAGCTGTTAACACTTCTCATAGCCACTTGTTAAGAATGTACATGGCAAAGGATGGCTGTCTAGTGTTGGTTGAACTTTGTGGTACAATCTACTTCTTGAAATAAAGCAAAGTAAATGCTTTTCTGTTAACCTGAAACACTATTATAAAGACCTGTACTGATGTCTTCAACCTAAATGAAATGCATTGCCATCTACCTCCAAAAAAAAAAAAGTGAACTGTTATAATTGAAATTTTGTGTATTTATATCTGTAAACTTTTTGTATGGATTCAAAGTAGCTTGATGTCGAGAATGCAGATGTTTTTCATGTATTTATCGATTCATGTACCTTTCTGACAAACAAAGTTCAGTTGAACACTGCCGGGGTTACTTCACGTTGTTAAACCCCATTAACCACCCAACCATTTCGACATCCTGCTCAATGGAAGATTGCTTCCTCTCCCTTCAGATTTGGCTGAGCAGTACAAAGATGATGGGAACAACAACTTCAAGTTGAAGAAGTATCGTTGGGCTGTGGCTTCGTACACGGAGGGACTCAGGCAGAAGTGCAAAAGTCTTGAGCTGAATGCCCAACTGTACTGCAACAGGGCAGCAGCCCAGTTCCGGTTGAGTAAGTAAACGTGGCTTTCTAGTTGTTTTTTTTTCTTTGAATCGCATATGCAGCAGGTACACCCGACAGCAAATTAAGGCAAAACATGCTATCAGCAACCTCAATCAGATAAATCTGCATCATCATGCCGTTTGGCATTGGGTGTTCATTGTTGAGACATCGTAGTGCGCGTACGCATCCTTTTACGCTTGCAGCCATTTCTTTTTACACGCTTGCAGTGGACTAACTGATGGCATGCAGCGCTTTGTGGTAGGGGTCGCTACTTTTTCTAAATTCGTCATGTGCTCATTTCTGCTGGAGAAATGTAACAGAAAATAAAAGAGTAAATGAATACTCATTTGCTGTATTTTTTGGAGAAGCGATTGGACCTGTGAGACAGTATGATACCTGCAGCAGTAGGTGGTGTGCCAAAATCTTTGTGCCAGCTAAATATAAAGTACTCATGTTTTGTGTTAGCTTGGGTTAGGCCACTACCGACTGTGTCGATTGTCTGAGGTCACTTTCGTTGTACCGGTATACTGGTACTGAGCTACATATGCATAGCTGGTTTAGTCAAAGTGATTTTCTGCTGTCGTATGGCTGTGACTGTTGGGTCTTTTTTATGATAACAATGTGAACATAAACAGTTGCAAAGTTCTTTGACATTTGCACACAATATCTTGAGAAGCACAAAAAAAGATGAACAAGGGTTGCCATTTCGAGTGTTTATGAGGTGCTTTGGTCGAAAAGGAACAAGGTGGAACTGTGCAAAAATATGTCTAATGCCTATGTAGTCCACTCACGCCATGATGGGAGTGCTGAGCCATATTAAAGTAAACTTTCGTGATGTGCATACATACTCTGTAGCGCAAGTAATTCATCTATCCTGGAGCAATTACAATGGCTTATCTATATGTTGTTAGACTTCGATTTCACTTCTGAAGAATCCGATCATTGTTTTCATTTTCAAAGTATGAATGTCTTGTGGTGCTTTGTGGCTTGGATGCAAGGAAATCAGCTGTCGATCTGGTGTTGAGTTTTATCAAGCCTATGGGGGGACATTTCTGGGGAGGCAAAATCGAAAAATGCTTGTGCACATAAACTCAAGTGGGATAAAAATAATGCGTATCAGTCATGCCTCCTATGGCATGCCTTATAACACAAGCATGGTTTCGGTGCATAAAAACACCAGGATTTAACTTTAGATTCACCCATTGTTCTAATCTGGGCTTTTCTGTACTGTGTGAACCACCATGCAATATCTTAACTATGACTCTTTAAAGGGCTCCTAACCAGCTTTGAAAATTTTGAGCTGACGAATGCAATGCATACATGGGGCGTTCACAATCACATTTGCCAAAATTTGCAACGCTTCGCTCCGCTAGAATGAGTCAAATTTCAAGATCAACGCTGCTTACCATTTTTTCTTGCGAGCGCCCGCCCAGAGAATGAGAGCATGACAAAGACGTAACAATTTTCCCACGTAGATGATACTGCTCTGACGTCCGTCCTCTACGTAGACTGTGCTCTGATGTTGCCAACAGTAGCACGTGACAGAGAAAATTATTTCACATGACATGTGTAGTTTGTGTAATTTCTTACTTGAATAGATGAATAAGAGTAGAGATAAATAATGAGACACAAAAAGGGCATGTGCTCATCTTTTTCATTTTTCTCCCGCAAATTGCAAAGAGATGTGGGGCTAATGTGCCTGCGTTTCACATGCATTCATGTCCCTGTGGTTCGCACATCGAGGAGATGTCAGCCCTGGAAACAAAATTAATGGTCCTGCCTGGTCAAGCACTCAATATGCTCATATGATCTACCACGTCTAAGCCAGTGTTTCCAAACGAGGGTGTACTGAGACATCCCTCCCGCAGAATTAGGCAATAGACCAGAAAATAACGCTGGTCCACAAGACTCAGTTTGTACAGTAAGTCCCTTCAGCGTGTGGCTGATCATCGGTTCATTGTTATGGTTACATTTTAATATCCACTTGAGTCTACTATCATTAAACATGCACTGGATACTGACGTATGCTTAACTGGATCGGGTCACAGAGCACTGCATCTGTGAACAGCGTGTTTGCTCTTGTTAAACTTTTTTTTTTTGTCATTTTTAAAATTACTTTATGCACTTACACTTTTTTTACCTACATTGTTTACAGAAAATTATGGCTCGGCATTGGCTGACTCTACGATTGCTTCAAAACTCAAGCCTAACTACGTGAAAGCAATGACAAAAGGTAAGGGTTGGCATACTAGCTTCTTTAACAATGTGATAAGGCTTTGTTGGGATTTTAATGTGTGAAGTTGTGTAAAAAGTTTAATGTTGTATTCTGTGCCCACAGTATTGTGCATTTGCTGACGTTTGGTGAACTAAACCCAAGCGTCTTGTGAATATATATATATATATATTGTCAATTGTACGTACCACTGATCTTTTTCGTTTAAATTTACTATTTGAATTTAGCTGCCCTTTGTTGCTGGGAATTGGAGCGTTACCAGGAGTGCATAGACTGGTGTCGACAGCTCTTAGAGGTAACACTGAACTTCGCACTTGCCTGTCTTTGTGTGTATAGTGGTGTGCTTTCGAGGTAAGATACCGAAGGAGCACATTGGCTTGATTGTCCGTTTTGCTGCACACTGATCAGACAGAGCCCGGTGGACGCCATTCACTAGAATTGTAGCCATTCATTACAACTGGCTATCAAGCCCTGCCCTGGCTGCCTGCATCAAAAAGACCATCTAGTGGACTCTGACCAAATAAAATCTCGTGTTTCATTGTAATCGCGCATTTCTTAGTGCTAAGCAATCGTTTAAATACTGTCATGTACCAATCAAATGCCAAGTTCGTGGTTTGTTGCCCTTTTCTTCTTTTTTTTTTTTCAGTTGGACCCTGCGAATGCAGAAATGACAGCGCTTAAGGACAAGGCAGAGAAAGCTTTGGTATGATCCCTGAAACTGTTCAAAGGCTGCTTGTGTTGCTTGTGCATTGCAGCTTTCATCCCTGTCGTGTGCTTTTTATTGACTTGTTGCCCCGCGCCTGCTCTTATCGATTGCAGAAATTAGCTGAGCGGAACAAGAGAAAGGCGGAGCTCAAGGAAAGACTGGCGGCTCGGCAAGAGGCTGCTCTCAGAAGTGCTCTCGAGGTGAGCCTGTTTTCCCGCTCATACCTTTGTGTGTGTGCGCCATAACATGAAAGGTGAGGTGCGGAAGAACAGAGTTGTAGCGGTGCAGTGCTGATACCATTTTTGTAACAATTGCCGGTGTTTTGGCGCATACTTCTAAGACTTGGCATGATTTCCTCGGTGATGTACTACCATGCATAATTCTCGCATTAGTTAAAGGTGTCGTGAACCACATTTATGAGTAATTTTTGAAATACCTCAGTATCAGGGTTAATATTCCTCGTATCTTTAAAGAGCAAGCGAAAATACAGTTTTTTTTTACGTACTGTAAGCATCTTCTCACATCTCTTGTCTCAACGAGCATTCAGGAAGCTACATAGAAACAAATGACATGGCGTGAAAGATGTTATGTCAGCATGTGTCATGAGTCACGACACTAAGCACACGTGATAAAACGCGATCGCTTTCTCCTGTTGCGATTCCTGTGTGCAAGTGTGGTTCACTTTGAGACATTAGCGGCACCCTTTGGCGAGAAGTGGATCTTATTCAAGTACCGCTCTTGATTTGTGTAGGCTGTTGGCCAATAGCATGCTATATGCTGCTTGATTCCAAATAGTAGGCACCTGCAGCTGTGAAAAAAGTGCGTACAGGCCTCTGTACATAAAAAGTGTATTTAAAAATATAAAGATTTTGGCATTTAAACCCTCCTTCCCACACTTGACTGCAAGATGTAGCTGAGATTTTCATAGCAGTGTCAGCTACCCATAGGGTGTGCTTGGTCACCAAACTTGTAGGGTTGGTTATGATTCCTTACCGGGGGATTCCTCAAGTGGATCTAAGCTTGTTGCGAATTGGCAAACGTTATTTTGAAGGCTCTTGTCCCATTATAATGCAACTGGTGCTAGGACTTGGAGAAGGAATTAGACACTTTGCAAGAAATATTAGTAGGCACGGCTGTTCACTTCTACTGTAGTATAGTAGACTCTCAGTAAACGGAACCTTAAGGGACTGAGAAAATATGCTCCATTTAACAGGAGTTCTGTTTACTGAGAGGTGAACATGGGTGCAGAATACAAGCCCAAAACCAAGCATTGCAGAGGCAATAGTTCCGTTTAAGCAGTAGTTCTGTTTAACATATTTCCGTTTACTGAGAGTTTACTGTACGTTTCATTATGGACGTGCACTCGTTTATTGATTTTATGACTGTTCGATCAAGATCATTAAAGTACTTTCAATTTGCAAAAATCTTTTGCCTGTTGGTCTCATCACTTTGAAAGCCTTTTAGTTGGGAAAGTTGGCGAAAGGATCACTTGACTTTAGCAAGTCTATATGTAAAAAGTTGTTAGGTAGAGGGGGAGTTGACTTTGGCACTGTTGCTGAAAACTTCATTATCAATATGACTAGAAACAGCGTGTTGTTTGTTGATCGATTGCTGTTCCCGAATTGCCAGTGCTTGCGTGCAGCATCTAAAGATGAGTCATTGTTGCATAAAGTTTGTATGCATCCCTCAGAAGACCTCCCTCAGAAGGCCTGTGCCTAGCTTAACATAAAAATTGGGTGTGCATTTACCCTTCCCGAGTACTCCTTTGGCATAATGCCCATGGGAGTTTTACAAATTTCACAGATACGTGGACATGTTTTTGGGTGTAGTCAGTGGGACTAGACAAAAGCTGCCTTCAGGAGAGAAGGTACTAGTGTGCATATATTATCAGCGTAATTACATGCACTTATGGACAGTGTGTCCTTAGCTAACTGCATGCTTCCTTAGTACTCATACCAAAGTGCAAAAGATAGGCGATAGTGTCACGACTGTTCAGATCCAGGATTGACTGAATGTAGGAAAAAGAAACGGGGCTTTTTATTGCTTGCACCTAATCATTACATAAGTGTGACGTATTGCACATGGTATGAATGTGGTCAATTGAGTAGCCTGTTCGAAATCCTGCTTGTTTCTTTGGTTGATTGAATTCTAATGTTTTCTTTACTCTGTTAGCAATTACTTTTGTAAATAGCTTGTATACTACAGAGAGCAAGCTGATCGGCCTGTAATTTTTCAAGTCCTTGTAATCTCCTTTCTTATGTATTAGGATGATGTTAGCATTCTTCCAAGACTCTGGTACTCTTCCCGTCAGGAGACACCTCGTAAACAAGGTGGCCAGTTTTTCTAACACAATCTGTTCTCCATCTTTCAGCAGATCTGCTGTTACCTGATCCTTACCAGCATCTTTGTCTCTTTGCGTTCTCTCCAAAGCTTTTCTGACTTCTTCTATCATTACTGGTGGGGTGTCATCTGCGTTACTACTAGTTCTTGTAGTATTAAGGTCGTGGTTGTCCCGGCTACTGTTCAGATCTCTGTAAAACTCTTTTGCCATTTTAACTATCCTATCCATATTGGTAGTTATTTTGCCTTCTTTGTACCTTAGTGCATACATGCGATTTTTGCCTATCCCAAGTTTCCTCTTCACTGCTTTGATGCTTCCTCTGTTTTTCAGAGCGTGTTCAATTCTCTCCTTGTTATACCTTCATACATCGCATACCTTACGCCTATTAATCATCTTTGAAAGCTCTGCCAGTTCTATTTTGTCTGTTGTACTTGAGACTTTCATGATTTGATGCTTCTTAATGAGATTCTTCATTTCCTTCGAAAGCTTGCCAGTGTCCTGTCTAATTACCCTGCCTCCAACTTCCTCTGCACACTCCGTAATGATACGGAGTGTAACCTTAATGTAATCATAAGGTGTAAGCTTAAGAGACAAGAAGAGAGCAGTGTGGATTAGGGAACAAATGGGGGTTAAGGATATCATAGTTGAAATCAAGAAGAGAAAATGGACATGGGCCGGACATGTAGTGCATAGACAGGATAACCGCTGGTCATTAAGGGTAACTAACTGGATTCCAAGAGAAGGCAAGCGAGTTAGAGGGAGACAGAAGGTTAAGTGGGCAGATGAGATTAAGAATTTCGCGGGTATAAATTGGCAGCAGCATGCACAAGACCGAGTTAACTGGCGGAACATGGGAGAGGCCTTTGTCCTGCAATGGACGTAGTCAGGCTGATGATGATGATGATTGCACATGGTATCTGTGTCCACAGGAATTCGCGCCTTGAACAGAAATGACCTATGAACTGAGGTACTTGCCTGTTTCTACCCCGAGGCACTTGCCTATCTCTCATGTCCCCACATGAAATGCAGAGCTTAGCATCTTAAACAAGAAGGGCTGGGAAAGCTGCTGCATCGTGGTGCACCGATGTGCAAGTTCCTGGGATTTCTACATGCATGTTTATCAAAGAGAAGGCACGTGCTTGTAAGAATCGCATCACAATTACGTCATCATTCACATGTTGTTCCTGTTGTAAAGTAGGACATCACTAATGCATTCCTTGCAAACGTGCGTTGTCAACTGGTAATTTTCTGGAGTAGCTCGGTGCCATCTAGTTTACCAGCTACCTGACTACGCTTGTGCTGTTTTGTGTGGTACATACTACAAATGTTCTCCTCTTGCTCTTATTCTTTTATAAACTATAGGAGCGAGGAATTAAACTCCCTAAACCGAAGGATGAGGAACTGGAGTGCAACCCCTTCGATCCACTCACGCCCACCCATCCTGCCTTGCGGGATCACAGGGTGCACCAGTCACCAACAGGTGACGGCCTTGTGTGGCCAGCTATTTTCCTCTACCCCGAGGTACTTGCCTCTCCTGCATGACCTTACGTGAAATGCAGAGCTTAGCATCTTAAACCAGAAGAATTGGGGGAGCTGCTGCATGAAGCCAGGGAAAACATTGGCATATGTTGGTTCTAGTTGAAGTGCAAATATATTTGTTTCTTCATTGCCGATGACTCGATAATTCAACTCTAGAGGGCCTCACAGTTTTGTTTCAATATATATAAGTTTAAATTATCTGAAGTTCTCATAAATAAGACTTGGGGCAACATACCAACTAGTGTTGTGATTTTTGTTGTCTCCCAGCACAGAAGCAGCATCATAGACGGCTTTTTATGATAGCCGGTAAAGTTTGTAGACACCAGTGATTATACTGGCGGCTCTTATTTTATGAGTGGTTCACGAGACTATAAGTAGCATACAAAATGTGTTTTGTCCCCTGACAGCTTGTAACCCCTCCCATTCTTATGATTCTTTCTCTCATGACACCAGTGTACCACAGCGAAGTCGGCTTTAAGACACTTTCAGCATGCGAAAGGTTAAGGCCAGGCCTCCTCAGTTTTCCTTTTCTCTCGTTTTTTTTTTTTTCTTTAGATTTCAGCTCCTAAAAGCGCATTCCTGCATTCAGCAGCATCGTCGTTACAGAGAGAGTGAACGCAGAACAAAGTGGACGATGAACGATGTCGATAGCGAGGATAGCGCGATGGTAAGGGAACGGCAGTGGCGAATTGACTTGTTTTGTGGCGCCGCCGTAGTGCACATCGTCATGTGTTGGTTGTTGTGGAACCCACCCACGAGCTGCCTTCCACGGTCTTCCAGTTAGTGAGGCAGGTGCACTGCACTCCGTCTGCGGTGGTTAATGTGATAGGGGCCGCATGAAATTGTTCATGCCAGCCACGCTACTCACGATGTTCTTCATGTACACCGTGTATTTCTTTGCAAAAGAGTCCCAGCCAGTTCTTCCTGAACAATCAGCGAGTGTGCGTCTGCTGCTGCTGCTAAATGAGCTATCTAAGCACTGCCGACGCCAAAATCCAGAGGTGCACACCGCCAAAGCAGAAATATTTGCTTCATTTTATCACAAAATCAAAACACCTAAGCAGCTGCACTCAGAATTCGCAATAGGCAGTGTTATAATTGTTGAACTTTTTACAGCAAAAGCTGTTATGAGATCACAACTCGGGTCACACGCAGTTGTCTACTGTCACCGCCACTGCCGCCGGTGTCCATAACCACGTCGGGCGAAATTAGAAAAAAAAAACTAGCGCCAATGACACAGTGGGGCTCGAAACCGGGTCTGCTGGGTGCCAGCCCAATATTCTACCACTGAGCCGCATCATGCTTGTGACTTGTTGGCAAACTTGCCTTGGGCAGGCTTGATGTCGGGAAAGCAATTGCAATAATATGACTTATAAAGCGTTTTAAAACAGCAAATGAGTAACCAGTTGTCGCACAATGCGAATATAGCAACGAGGGGGTCGTCCAATGCTCCAACCCATTACAAAAGCTTGTTCTTGTTCCCCTACTAACTGTGGCACATACCCACTTCAGCCTTAATTCCTCATTGTCATCAGCCACTGCATGAACCATTGGCACAAAATTCCTTGCAAGTATTTAGCAGATTCCATGCTTCTCAGAAAAATGACGAAATATAGCATAGCGAATGCCGGCCTGCTACTTAAAAAATGTTATCATTAATGCCTGAGTGGGTATAAAGCAAGTGTGCTTGCAGTAGTTACCCAATGAGTGTTTTGAAAGGCTCTGAAAGGCCGCTCTTCTAGCTTTCGCTGTGACTGTGCTGGGCCTTCTGCGCAGGCCTGGCGTTTTTTCTTCCACAGTCAGCATGCAATTGTTGGTGTGCATAGTTTGGCTAGTTTGGTCATTTCACAGGCAGGTAGTTGGCTTTATTTGTAACTGTTTGTTACATAAAAACGCACATGTTCAGCTAGAGGCAACAAAGGCACTAACACAAACCTCATTATCACAAAGTTCCATTTTACATGAAAAGAAGTTTGTTACATCCAAAAATTTGTTATAAAGATAATTTTTAACACGGTATCTGTTGCAAGACTATTTTTCATTTACCTCAATGTAACCGATACTTCATTATATCTGTGTTCGTTGCACTGAGGTTAGATTGTACATATTTCCAGGCATGTATGATCAAAAAGCTTGAATTAACCAAATTCTTGTAATGGGGTAGTTTGAATTAAGTCGCTTTAGGATATGTTGAAAATGTAATGGGCCAATTAAAAATGATTGTTTGGATTAACCCAAACTTTAATTATCGATAGTCTACTGTATTTCTAGACATCAAGATAATTCTTAGAATGCTGCAGCTGCCGAGTCACAGCAGTTTATGACATTCAATATATTGGAGCAGCCATCTCTGCCCCTAGCAGTGGTAAATGACGATGATGAACCTTTTCATCTCTTCAATTCGTTGTTGTCTGCAGGTGATGGAATCAGACTTTGTGCAAAGCTTTGACGAGTCTTCGAGCTTTGGAGAGCAGCTTGAGCTGCTGTTTGGAGACACAGTCAGCCAGCCTGAGTGGAATGCCAGTGGTCAATACACTCCCAACAGTGTTTCAGTAGGTCACATTGTCGTGTTTTCTCTATCTGACCCTTTCCCTTGTGTGTCTGCTTGTATCTAACAGGAACATAAATAGAAATTACCTAGGTTTATTCAAATGAAGAAACCTAAACACTAAGCGAGCCAGCTGATAAGGTTAAACATGTATATAACAAGCTTATTGAGGGAAATATTCAATGCAACAAAGTCGTTCACTGCAATTATTAACCTTGACATTGAGAAGCATGTCTTTTCTCGTGATCTCAGTATACTACCGTAAAGGCCCACGTGTAGCCCGGGGCTTTTCTCTAAAATGTAGGATACGAAATTTTAGCCCCTTACTATATGCGGGTCCCAAGAATTTTCTGCCGAAACTCAGTTTTGGTTTCGGCATAGCGCGGTGCTGTCATCATCAGGTGTTTGCGCGCCTTTGCGCTATGTGCTAGGCAGTGTTGGCGGTGGTAGCAGGCGTTAGTTTTACAGACCTACAGGTGCAACAGTGGTCAGTGCTTAAACTTGGCGCCCATATCGGCAGCCACAATCTTGCTCCTGCGATTTTACGCCATGTCAGCACCGCACAGGCAGTACTTGACTGCTTTTAAAAGAAAAGTTATCGCTGCTGCCGAAACTTCGTGGCTGTTCGGAGTGAATGAGCGGAGTTCTCGGGGTCGATGGAAGCAGACGGATGCCTTCCTTGCTTGCAGCAGCCAGAAAAAAAGTGTCCGAGACCAAAAAATGGAGCGTGTCCTGACGTGGAAAGACAATTCGCAGACTTTGTGCGGGAGTAGCAAGCTGCGCATCTCGCTGTTGACATCGAGCTGCTGCCAGCAAAGACAAGGGAGATCGCGCGAGACAAAGGCATTCAGCTGGAGGATTTCAAAGTGAGCATTGGGTGTCTCTCTTCATGCGCCACGCTGGGTTCTCCCTACGTCGACATACGTCAATCTCACAGAAGTTACCAAAAAGCTGTGGAGAGGACCTTGTGAAGTTTTAAAAGTATGTCATTGCATTGCGAAAGGCTGTCCCCTTTCAGCTTGGTCAGATTGGCAACGGAATCAAACGCCGGTCTACCTGAATATGCTCTCAGCGCTGACAGTGCATCAAAAAGGCTCTAGGCAAATTATCGTGCAATCGACTAGGAACAAAAAAAAATGTGGGTGACTGTAATGCTGTCCTGCACTGTAGACGGTCGCAAGCTACAACCCTACATGGTGTTCAAACGAAAGATGCTGCCAAAGGGGGAGAAGTTCCCAAAAAGTGTCGTCGTCCGCTGCCAAGACAAAGGGTGGATGGACGAATCGCTAGTGCTTGACTAGCTAAAGTCTGTGTGCTGTAGACGGCCAGGAGCATTGCTGGGGCTCCCTTCAATGCTTGTGCTCGACGGGGTTCGGTGTCACCTGGCCGACTCCGCAAAGCGACTGCTGCGCGAGTCCCACACCGATGATGACATCACAACTGCAGCCGCTTGATGTGGTCCATTTAACCATTTTAATAAGCCATTTAACGACTATGTCAAGTGCCTGTACACTGTGTGGATGAGGTCCGTAGAACCTGAAGCGACCCTTGCTAGGCAGCTGAAACCAGCCTCGCCAGCGATGCTGTGCTCGTGGATAGTCGAGGCCTGGGCCTGCATTCCCGAGGCACTCGTTTGCCGTGCATTTAGAAAGTGCTCCATCTTAAACGCGCTTGATGGCACTGAGGATGATGTGCTGTGAGAGAACATTTCCGACAAGGGAGCTTGGGAAGAGAGTGCATCTGACGACGATAAATGAAGATTGTCAATAAATGCATTTTTTCATTTTACTCAGGCTATATTCAGGTGTAAACTTTTTCTCACGTTTGCTATCCCAATATTACACCCCAGACACTATGCGGGCTTTTATGGTATAATGAAGTTTCACTGATGTTGCAAAGGTGAAACTTTGGCTAGGGCAAGTCATCAAGTGGTTGAGTGTTGGGCAATTTCGCCAAAATAAAACCACACGAAATCTGAAAATACTCATGTCGTTGCACACAGTGAAGAAGTGGTTGGCAAAAACTGTGTCAATCGGCACATTTCCCTAGTTTGCCAGTTGCATATCATGTAATATGACAATAAGGTATGATAAGTGTACAGGTGCTATGAAAATCTGACAGTTCTATAAAGTGTAGGTAGTGCTTTTCAATTAGTTAGTTAGCATCCTATGAATATGTTGGCTTTCTGTGAACATTGCCTTCGGATTAATATCTTGCTAGATTTTGCTAAATTCATGTAGCTAGCAGCTTATTCTTGCCGTTATGTCACGACTGGCCTTTAAATAATTGCTTGTTCACCTCATTTCTTTTTCAATATGAAGATACCTGGACACTTAAATTTTCATAATGTTGTTCTATGTTATATTGAAGTATTATTTATTTCATTGGGATTCGTTTGTAGGTTTGGTTCAAAGACCACTTTACAGGAAAGCCTGTGGCCATCTCACCAAAGACTACCCTGAAGACGGTAGTTTTCGACAAAAGGCAAGCTTTTATAATTTATTGTCCAGAAATTTAAGAAGATTCTATTGTAAGTATACAGCCTGTTCTAACTTGATAAACATAATTTTTGTCAGGACAATCAGTCCAGCATGACGATGGTATCTTCCCCATGCAAGATAACTTTCCCTTTACATGAGGGCTCATATAGAAAACAAAACAAATACGAACAGGAAACTAATCTTATTAGTGGGAGTTGTTCTATTTAAGCAGCAATTTCGTTGTAAGAGAATTTCGTTTGCTGAGAGTCTACTGAATTATGGAACGTCTTGGATATCCCTTGTTAGCTGTTTTGCTGTTGAAGGATGGTACAGCTTACAGTTGATCTTGTTCAGGAGACGGTACCCAATGTTCCTTTATATTTTATTTAAACAAAGCGAATAATTTTACAGTCATGTTTATGTTAGTCAGTTTCTTGACGAAATCTGATTGTTTTCGCATTTATACACGAAGCAGCTCTTGCTCGGGGCTATGTCTGTCCTTCGGCGACCGTCCACTTCCTCAGTACGCATGCGCCAACTCTCCGCCCTCTGCTCGCATGAGCGGGTGGGACGGTGGCAGAGTGCTGCCTCCGCTTCGTTTCTCCCATCCTGTTCATCTCTTCACCACAGTTGTGCGCTCGTGTATAATGCTGCCCGCGCTCACTCCATTGAACTCTCCTAGCAATGCTGGGTGTTCACTTTGCGGCACACACACAAATACACACAAATGAAAGGAGGGTTAACATAAGCTGTAAACAACATATACACAGCTCCACACACCAAGGAAACATGGACGAGAATGTACAAATGCAAACAACGAATGGAAATGCAAGTGTACACCAGCCCTGCTTTGCTTCCCCACATGGTTCTCTTTAATATTAGATAGTGGGATCTTTCTTTTTTTTTTTTCAAAATAATGCAAAGATCTAAGGTTATGATTATTTACCTATGCCTTGTATGTGAACCATTTTCTCTTTTTTTGATCCAGTAAGAATCTCTCAATACATTTTTCATACCTATCATGTTTTGTGTAACCTTACTCTACATCCATTCACTTCCCGCATGTATGGTTTTTAGTATTTCAGGGTTTCTTATTTTGCATGTTCCAAGTGAGACCTCAGATATGTTTCTCTCCCACAGGGGATTGATGGTTGTTTGAGCGATAGTATTACCACATATAAAATGTGCATATATATGAATGTAGAGAAACAATGTCCTGCTGCTGCGTGTGCCTATTTCTGCTACTATGTATGATGCGAGCAGTTCCCAAAGCCATGTAATGGAGAGCTTTCAAACGTTTAAGACAATCTCAGGTGCTGGCTTTTGAACAGCTATGTCTAACGTTGCATTATTGTTCATTTCCTTGCCTATTCGACGCTTTTGTTATCCCCGCGGGTGGTCATCTTAAAGGGACACTAAAGAGCAAAACGATTTTTCCTGTATTACAGTGAAGCCTGCTTATAACGAACCTCCATATAACGAATTCCTCTATATAACAAAGTTTTTCTATTCCCTGTTTGGTTGCTCCATAGAAGCACGTGTATTTGCGACCTCTACGTAACAAAGTAACAGTGGGAGACAACCCTCATGTAACGAATTTTCTCCACGGACAATCTAGGAATTTCGCTCTGCATTTTGTCATTTTGGTACAAGCATGCATCTTGCGCGGCTGCCCCGCCGCCGACGAGCCGCGCGCACGGCGCACCAGGCGAGAGCGAGCGCTCGTCATTGCGCGAGCAGTCGCGCCTGCGCACCACGAGCCAAGGTTGCCGCCACCCGCCACTCTCATTGCCGCGCGCGCACGTAGTACGCGCGGCTGTGCCTCCCCCCTCCCTTCCTCACGCTTTAAACCAAAATGAAAAAATAGTAAAATTAGCCGAATAGTTTTCCGAGGTATCTGTGTCTGTGTCGTTCGCTCTTCATTTTCAACGCCGTGCGCGTTTGCATAGTTTCACTGCACGCGCATGGTGACGTGCAGCTTTGCTTTTTTTTTTTATTGCGACATAACAATTATATGGACAGTCTCGGCTGGTTTTTTACCGGCGCCGCAGCCGTCATTCACTGTATATGTATAAGTATCTATATATTTGAAAACTCAAAAAAAAAAAAAGCCGCCCGCGCTCGACGCCCAACTTGTCACAATGCGCCAGCGCGCGCTTATCACACACGTGTACTTTGCCCGGCGGAGGGGGGGGGGGTTAATGCTTGTGCGCTGTGCTTATCTTTCGGCGGGGGGAATCGCGCGCCTTCGACCTTGGCCGGAACGATTGCGTTTAGTTGCAAGGCGCACAAAGCTCACTTTCCTCCATAGACAGGCGCCGTTTGCAAAAAAGAGTGCCCTTTTCAAACACAGCGAAGTAACAACTGGGGTAATTTTTTAGTTCGCACGTATATCTGTACCTGTGATTACGTTTCGTGCATCGTTTTTGTTTTTGTTTATACAGCGCGTTAAGTGTCGAGCGGTAAACGTTGTTCGCTTTCGTCCTGTTGTTTTCGCGCGTCATTTGTGCTTGATCAGCGTGCTGCATGCTTCGATCTGCCTGCCGTTCTCAGCGTTACATTCCAAGTTGTCATTGCTTCGCCCTTGCGGCGAAACTGCGACCTTACTTAATTTCGGAAAACCGCGTCGTTACCACTGAGGGGTTGTCAGATCAGGCGCTAATTGAAAATCGCCAAGACCACGGTTACGCGACGGATCTTCGAAGGTCGACCCGTCACGTGCTTCCGTCTTTCGCCGCGCCGCGAGTTCGCAGGCTGGTAGCTTTTGCGAGTAGGTCGATTAGTTCTCGCTACACGACGGCGCGTTGAATGCAAGGCAATGTACGCGACAGCAAAAAAAAAAATTATGTTATAAGAAGAAGTAAGGCTGGCAGCCAACTCTTTTGGATCTCATATCGCGGAACTTCTACAAAACGCTGTTGTGAGCAAATACGGCCGCTCCAGTGTGAAGTGCTCTTTTCACACTATTCCTTCGCGTAGAAACCGCACTGATGCTCACCGAGATAGCAAGCGCGCCAGTGATCGCGACCAAATCCAAGTTCATTATTGCTGCTCCAGCGATCCCTCCCCCCCCTCCCCCGTGTTGTTTCACGATTATTCAAGACGGGTGGTTTACTTTGAACATTTGAGGGCAGTTTTAACACATGGAAGATGTTATGAACTTTCCAGGTGATAGAAATGGGCCGACTCATTTGTTCTCTGCGAGCGCTCTTGTGCTTTTACCCGCTCGTGAAAGTTACTATGTGCGGGGGGGGGGGGGGGGGGGGGGCATGTTATCAATCTGGACTTGTCAAGGAACATGGCGGTGACAGCAAAAACCCGCTGATAGTGTCCATATAATCGCTATTACAACAATAACGCAGTTTTTTCACTGTAAACTAACTATTTTGGGTTAGCTCTGCCTTCAGTCCCTCTTTTGTCTCATTTGCACGTTTATTTTCCAAATTTTCGTACCGAACTTGCATATAACTAAATCCTCTCTATAATGAATTTTTCTGAGATTTTATCAATTTTGTTATATTCAGGTTTTACTGTAGTATAAAGTACGATTTCACAATCCCAAAAACACCGCTCTTGCCATGATACGACAGTTGGTAAGCGAGAAAACGCGCAAAATGAACATGTGGTTGGAGAGGGTGCCTTGAGATTTCTGTACCAAACACCATGGTGTCGTAGATTTTGAAGGCATTTTAGTGGGTCCTACGTAGCTTACAATCGCAAAATGTTTCAAAAATCTCGAAATATTTTGTTGAGTCGATGTTGTGAAAATGCATTTTGAAATTTTTGGGAGTACACGTGGATATTTCGGCGCGAAAATCATTAACCTTAATTTTCTCCACTAATGATGATCGTACAATAGTGAAACTTGTGGCATTAGAATTCTCAGAGTGTTATTTGTCATTCCGAACCAAGTCATTGTTCCTCTTTAGTGTACCTTTAATCTGATTACATTTGTTTTATGACCGTGTCCACAGATTCCACATTGACAATGGTACCACGTCATTCTGGGTCTTACCCAAAGGCACGGAGTATGAGGCACGTTTCCTTGCTCAAACGAGCAGCACGTGACGTTGGAAAGAAAATAAAGGACGCTGTTCTTTTCACACAAACATGAATGTGGCATCTTTTATTTCACAACATTTGATAACTCTGTATTCATTGTTTTTTGCAATATTTGCACGCACAGTTCCAGCAAATCCACAATCTGTCTTTTCCTCATACGACCCAAACAAAAGTGAGTGCGACAAGACCGCAGCGCTGTGCGTGGCGTCAGCACTGGGCCACAGTTGGTCGTTAAAGAGCAATTTAATGAGGGAGTTGATACGCTTTGACTTGCAGCATTGCTGGTAAGTCCTCAACAAAAAATTTAGTGTATTTTTCAAGCCTAGCCTAACTTCGCTAATCACTTGCTCTTTTCAAGTCACAAGCGATTCTCATAGAAGGTTGTTTTCGGGGGCTCAGAGTCGACATATAAAATGACTGGTATAAGTGATGCAGACATTATACCTTTCTGACTGCAACAGTAGGTTTAAGCCGAGGCTGTTATGGTACCTAGCAAGGTTATGCTAAATCCTCAAGTAGATACACATCACAGTACCCATAGCCTCACTTTTTGCCAATTATTCTTAAAAAGAAAGCAGTAGTAGCATTATTCAGTTATTGCTTTATGAAAGTTTGTTTAATGGTTGTTTCTTTTTTCACTGTCTGCTGGCTCTTTCTCAGAAGTATTTGCCCCCTTGGTAGCTATTTTATTCACGCGTTTCTATTTCCACAAGAGCCACATTACATTGCAGAATATTTTGTCACACTGTACATTCAAAATAAAGAAATCTATCAGCATGTTATCCTTTTACTGACTTAGATAAAACGAAACAAACGTAATGCCTTTGTGCGCGCACCAAGGCTATCGATGGTATGTACAGTTGTACAAAAAGCTTGTAAGAAAAAAAATGGTGGTTGTGAAATGGAAAAATACTACTAACACCTTGAACTACAGGTGTTTAAAATTGTGGACTAAAGAAAAAAGTGTGGCTAGTTTGGCCAGGAAATGTGTCTGTAAATTGTGTTTGAAGGTGATGTTACACACTTTTTTTTGTGACTCAAAAAGCAAAAGCTCACATTGGCAAACAGGACAAAAACACGACACTTCGAAGCCAGTAAAAGCGTGCCATTGAAAAGATTCGGTGCTGTCAACAAGTGATTCTTGCTGCATATTCATATTGTTAAGAAATTTAAACTTGATTTGAAAGTAATTTGTAATAAGGGACATGCACTCTCTAAAATTAAATGCCATGAAAACGCTTGCACTGCTGCAGGTACTGAAGATTATCTTTGCCTGTGGGCCTTGAATTTGCTGCTCATGGCAGTTGGCAATGCAAGTCTCAAAACAGAACTTGTCTGTGTGCTAGGCCACTTGCTGTACATAAAGTGACGAGAGTGCCTGACAGCAAATGAAACGGCAATCATGAATCACTAACCTTTAAATGTAATAGAGTTTTACAGATAAAAGAACATTCTACGATGCTCAAAAGAATGCGATCTAAGATATCTCTTCATTCTATGTAGCACTCATGCCTAGATTTAAAATTTTTGCCAACATGTGCTAGGTTTCTCGTCTCTCTTGACTGTGGATTCCGGTGGAAGGTTGATTGATATGTGGGGTTTAACGTTCCAAAACCACGATGTGATCCCGGTGGAAGGTTGCCTGTGGCGATATGTTTCAGTGACAATAGCTGGTCCCGTGTGCATGTGTGCCAGTGAAAGTTTCAGTTTCGCATTTCTGTTTGGCGGTGGCCACACAAATCCAAGTACATATACATGTAACCGTTGGCATGTGTCACATAGGCACATAATTTTCAGGCCACAAAAGACTCAATCCAAACACCAGGGAACAGTTTTTTTATGGAGTTCAGTGAACAAAAAACTACATGCACAATCTTTACTGCATTTTAGCTTAAAGTGATGAGTTCTGAAGGATGAATTCGTGTGCACCTTTGCAGAATAACGTAAAGCACCCTAATCCTCGCGGCAAAGCATTTCTATCAAAGCCTCGAACAGAACTCCATATTTACAAACAGATCTTGGAAAAGAGATTAATGTCCTTGAGAAGTTGTAAATATTGGTAAGAATATGTACACTGAATAACTAGCAACACGTGCCGTCAAAAAGAGGCAACAAGTGTGCTGGCACCTGTGAACAACCTTTCGCTGATCCATGGCCTGAACATCCGATAACATTTTTGTAAATATCCTGTATTGGCAACTACGACGCACGCCTATCCTACTAATTCTATATTAGGTTACGATTCGATGTGCGAGAAAGCGTGGTTGTTGCTTGAAAAAGAAAAGATGCACTGTGCGTTACTTCCACGAAAGCAAGACTAACCAGTGCTTGAAAGAAACGTTTCAAATTGTTGCATGGTATACGCAAACCTTCGTTTTTGATAAGCATGTTCAATTTCTGCTGTAGGGATAGTACCACTTAAATCACTGTAAATATTTCTGCAATCAGGCTCCAGGAACCACAGAATTAAACTAATCTAGTGTCAATGTGCATTGTGCAACGAGCAAGATCGTTTGCACTTTGTGGCAGTGTTGCAGTGTGAAATAATCACAACAAAGAATACTTAAATTACATCATAGCTTTGCTCAATAGCAATCAGTAGCAGAGGTAGAAGCCACAATACAACAGATTGAAAAACTGTCAAAAGACGTTGCAAATAAGTTAAAACTGCTCAACGAGTGCATTCCTCTGCAGTAAGGCATCACTGGAAAAACATTGCATGATTGTTCGCTCGTAAACATTTCACCCCAAGGTGTAGCACGTTTGTTTATGAATCCTAAATAATGAAACTACAGCTAGTGCATATATATTACTTTTCATAAATCGTACATTTCTGTATTGCTGCCCAAACATTTCTTTCGCACATAAATATAATGTGCAGTTAGGGATAAAACCCATTGACTGAACGTCGAAAAGCCTTTCCTGCGATAACAGTTCTTCGCTCGGCTAGAAGAGAGTCTACAGAAGGCAAGATCACAAAAGTACGCTTGCAGAGCAGCGCAACATGAGAAAAGGCCTGCATCAGTTAAAGAGTGCGAAAATGTGCGACATGCAACAATGTACTTGACAAGTAACAGCAAACATCCTAATCCTCGCTTCGGTGTGCTCGATGAGAAATAGAAAGTCTGTGCACACATTAACACTACAATGACGTCGATGAGATGAAAAAACGTGTGCTCGAGAGTCTGTCCAGTCTCGCTCCCCAAATGGGACCGAGGTGGGTTTTAAGACCTCTTGAATGGCAGCGAAACACTGTGGAGACCGCAGTGTAGTGGCACTTCCGTGGTCAGTTCATGAGACGAGCGCAAAGAAGAGAGGCGCACCAGTGCACGCACACATAGTCCTGAGAAGGCATTCACTGGGGTGTCTGGGGACTCTGCTGTTTCTTCCACAGTCCAAACAGCTTGCCCCCCTTGCTGGGTGTCTTCTGCTGCGGCGACGCAGAGGCACCGTTCATGGCGGCTGCCTTTGCCTTTCGCCGACGGTCCTCGGCCTCCTGAATCCGTAGTTGCTTTTGGACGCGCTCGTCTAGCAGGGACTGCATGTCCACCTGTGATGAGAAATGGGGAGCGGTGTAGCTGCGGCTGCACTGCCCGAGCTCCGTGAAACGTTGAGAGTTTCATATGCAACGATCTCATGAGAAGGGCCCGCGCTAGTGTTTCATGAAATCCTCAATACTCTAAAGTTTTGTACCATTATGAGAAATTTCGTGATCGTTCATCATTGCATTGGAATATCAAGTGCATTATGGGGTCTGTACTGTTGCAAGCAGCTCTCTGCTTTTTGTGAGTGCGAGCAACGAAGGAACAGAAACCTGTAGTTTTCTTTTGCAATGTGCAGGACTGTGGTAAAATAAACATGTATCTAACAAATTGCATGTCAGATGTAATAAAGGAAATCTAAAATGCCTCACCGATAGGAGTCTACAATTGTTGTCTATAAACAACACTGAGTATTTGCAGGCTTTTTTATGTCATATCCTGGTTTACTATTTAACCCTATGGTGTTCTCTACAGTGCTCATATTCAGCTGTTAGCTTAGTATTTGCCCCCCCCCATTGTGCATAGCATTACTTCAAAGATTTGCGAGACCATGTTGATCTACTCCCACTTTGAAGTAGTTGTTCATATTTATCTTTACCAAGCTTGTGTAGCCTAATATGAGTATAATCTAAACAATGATGACGCATTTTTGTGTGTTAGATGATTAGATGTTGTCACTGTCATAATGAAATTGAAGTGATGTCATGGGTTCTTCTCTCTTTCCATCATTTTATGCCTCTTTATTTGATCCCGAGTACAGGGTAGCCAGCTAGAATCTCTGGTCAACTTTCCTGGCTCTCAAAACCTGTACCAGACATGTTGCTTTCAGGGAATGTTTTTGAACCACACATGGCTGTTAGACTACTCATGAGTGAGGTTATGTAAGCCCTCTTTGTCAACTGTGGTTCGAACTCTGCTTTGCTGCCCAAAACTGGCTTCTTTATAAGTTATCAGTTGAGCATGGTCCTTCTAGCAACCCTGCAGTGCATCTACTGGCACTTATAGTCCAATATCCAGCTACTCTATATTGTTACAGCCTCGCATTCAAGTATGTTCACGTCGGCGCAAGAAAGAAAGAAAACTAGAGTAGAAGGGGCGGTTTAAACCAACCTGCCACTGCTCGAGCTGCTGTGAGAGTTCCACCTTCTGCTGGATGGCCTCCATGAGTTGGCTGTTGATGTGCATCAGCTCGATGCGGGTCTTGGCCAGCTCGATCTCCGTGTTGTTTTTTCTGAAAATGAAGGGCACCGCTCGAGATTAGACGCCATGCTTGATCACAAGTGCAGGTTTCTCCGAAACGAGAGAAAATTCGCAACAGGTGCTGTCCAATACACGCCGCACGTATGGCACGTTCCGAGGTACGCCACTTCTTTCAGTGCATGCAGTCATCGAAATTATAGGTTTCCAGGTCAGTTCCTGCAGAGAGCCGATGCTGTGATATCGATTTAGACGCGATTAGAAGGTTGCGGGTTCGAACACCACTGGCAGCAAGGGTGATTTTCGTCCACTTTGGCTGATTTGAATCTACTGAGCCACAGTTAGAGAGTAATTAATATCCACTGAGCTTTCCCTAATCTGATTATCTGTTGGATCAATTTTGTCGTGCCTAACCAGGCATATGAAGGTGCTACACACAATCGCGTATTTTGTGACAAAAAAAAATTATGGTGAGGCAGTGATACGTATTTTGTGACAGTCACTGTTTTTTATTTTCATTTTTGCGGGAGATAAACCGTAAAATTGAATTTTAGGTACTCAACAGAACAGGCAAACCCAAGGCGCCAACGAATCTGGTATCAATAAGCATTTTTCTCGAAGCCGGCAACGCCGCCATAATCTTGAATAGTAGGTTCACCGGCAAGCGGGTTTCACTGCACTATGCATTATTGCGTGGTGAAGCAAACATGAAGAAACACATTTCTAAGTCGCGAGGCGTTGTGAAAATACTGCAATAATGATAATTATTGTTCATAATTGTTGAAGTTTAACGTTTTGAAACGGCCATGTAATTATCAGAGGAGTGTTTCGGAAATTTCGTCCACGTGGGTAACTGGAGTTCGTTAACTTGCACCGAAGTCCAAGTACGCAGGCCTCAAGCATTTTGGTTTCCGTCGAAAATGCGACCGTCGCGGCCGGGATTCGATCCCGCGACCTGCGGCTTAGCGACAGAGCACTATAACTAGTGCAGTAATAACTAGTGGAGATAAAAAATGGTTTAATGGAGTTTAAAAAATTACACGATAACACGGAAAATAAAGACAAGTGGAAGACAAATATTCATGTTGTCTCTCAAAATGAAGACGATTACAAGGCGAAAGCCAAATTTTAACACGGAAGTGTTTTATGTCGGGGTCCACTACGGTGGCGCTGACGTGCTTCTGTCACGGAAGTGACGTTGAGCAATATGTACTATATTATTGGAAAGGAAAAAGCCAGAAGGCAAGCATTTGTCGCGCGTAATCGAGCCAGCTACTTACTGATTCTCAGCACGCGACGTTAACCACTACGCCATGAAGCGTACTGTTCTGGAGAGCTAATGGCAAACTATTCATATACACCATACACCGTTTAGCAGTCCTCGGAGCTTCGAAACATGAGCGCGTTTTAGTTATCAATGGCGAGATGGCGCGACGGGCTCGCGTTGGGCGCGCTTTAAAGGCATTCGCCTCCACGAAGCGCCGCATCCACGTAGCGTGGTTAAAACCCCTGAAACTTCGCAAAGTAGGGACACTCTCTTCCTCCGCTTGCATTTCGTCTCGGTCTCCTCTCGTTCGCCCTCTTGTTTCGAACGTGGCGCTATCTGCCTTGCTCCTGCGTAGCAAACGCCCTTTAGCGAAAGGAGCGCTTGCTTGGCAGGCAGTGCGCTGAGAGCATTCGCGCCAGCAGTCTAACTCATCCTAAAATTACCTAAACGAGTGTAACTTTGGCGCATGACAGCTCTGTTTAAGTGGCACTAAATATTTGCAGAGAGCATTCACCGTGGCTATTATTCAGTGGAAGCAACAACTCGCGTTGACGTTTTCGACGCGTGGCGGCGATGTCGACCACGGTCAATTTTAGCGTCTGAGGAGGCATCTAAGGCGTCCACCTTAATGTGTCGGAAGGTGTTCATCATTTACAGCTCATACATTTGAACAGCTGCGGTTGTTCCGTGAAGTAGTTAGACGCGCACTAATCATATTTCGGAAGTGCGCCTTGTGGAGTTATCTGATGCACGAACTATATAGCTGAACTAGCGTGCCACCATACGCGATTACTTCACGAGTGTTCCGGACAGTCGCGGATATAAACCTTCACACGAAATATTAAACAAACCATCGCGCATTATGTGCCAGGTTCTAAACAATGCACGCACCCAGCGACACCAAAGCGTGCAAGCTTTGCATAGCTTTCCTCGCATCGCGAGTACACCGGCTGATTGAGCAACATAAAAGAGCCACAGAAAGCAATTTGCTCTAAAATATACGACCACGCAACAAACAGCGCGGAATCTCGGGGAACTTTTGCAATCACATTTTCGATTGTCTTTCCGCGGGCACGCTAAGCGCACAAACCGGTATCGCGAACTCAGTCAGTCGGCGCATATCGACAAGCAGAACACGGATGCATGTATTGTTGACCGAAATACAGCCATCCGCAGGATCGTTAATGAAACCTGAGTGTGAAGTCGCGGTCTCACTGCACAATTAACTGTGACTCGAGAACTAACTGCACAACTAACTGCGGCTTAACTGCGAATTGAGAAAACATCGAAGCATACTTCGAGGAAAAGACTCGTAACTATACTTCGAAAAGTGAATTTGAAAATGTCGGCTCGAAGTTTTCACTTCCGATTCTATGCAACTACGTATATTCTCGCAACTCGTTGCGCTCAACTGGCGCCATCATGAAGAGCTTCCGGCAGTCACTACACTTCTTCTGGTGTCAGGATGCACAACAGTCACCCAAGACAACGAACAGTAACGTCATTCTTGGTTGAAAAGTTTCTCACAGCACAACGCGCACGGAAGGACGCCTTCGTATCCGTCAAAACAGATGCGCTGTACCCTAGGGAGTTCGCGCTTCGAGAGCAAAGAGAGTACTTGTGAGCGACTGTAAACAAACGGACTCTGCGAACGGTCTCACGTGACGGCATCTGGTGGTGGTGGTAAAAAACATTTATTTCAGAAAAAGTCTACTAGAGAGTGCCGACGGGCATCTGGCCTGGCTGGCCAATACCGACGCGACGCCGGCCTCGGAGAGGTAGGAGGAGGGAAAAAGAGAAGGCGCGCGTGTAACGACATAACGACATGCGTCGCTACTTTGCGAACTTTGGTCTCTCCTGCGAGCGCGCTTATCTGACTTGTAATTCGGGAGAGGACGAACGTCACTTCACCTCCCACGCGTACTTCGCCCTGCAGAGGAGAGGGGGGGGGGGGGTGGACGCGTACGCACGCGCGTGCTTATCTCGCGGTGGGGAGAATCGTACGTCTTTAGCTTTCACCAAAACGATTCTGTTGCAGTTACCGGACGCACAAAGGGAACTGCACTCGCTGCACAGTCTCCGTTTGCGAAAAGGGCGCACTTTTCAGACACAGCGAAGTAACAACTGAGTCACTTTATTAATCTGTACCTGTGAGTACGTTTTGTGCGCCATTTGTGCGTGAGAAACACGGGGAACGTTTCCACCTGCTTGCCATTGTTCGCGTGACCTTCCCATTTGTTGCTATCGCGTTCGTTGCTTCGCCTTTGCGGCAAAGCTGTGGCGTTTTTCTTCTCATTTGATTAATCGATTCCACCCGCGTTCCCCCGCCAAAGCTGTGTGCGCCTAACGTAATTTTTCAATGCCTCCGGGATCGGCCCGCCTTTGACCAAGTGCCGGTGTCATGTGATGACGTCACTATAATACGTCACGTCGTGATGACGCCGCCAGGGCGTCACACATTTTGACGATCTGTGATGTCGCCATGGTATCATACGATAGACATCACGTGACGATATTCCACACACCACTCGTGTTACCGCCGACGGTCAACTTACGCGTTTTTTTTTTTTTTCAAGGCATGTTAGACGTTTACCGTGATAAAATGGCAAGAAATAACATCGATTTGCTTTTGTGCATGTAGTCTCGGCCTCTTGATTAGTTTCATTTTTATTGTTTCAACATGCCAAGGGAAGATAAGGCTAATGGTAGATTAGACAGCCGGATTGACTACACATATGCGCTTTTCAGCAGTTGCGTTGACATTCAATAAATATTACACAATAGAAAGTGGATGCGCTGAATGTGAAGAAAAATTACGCCATCTGCCGCTAAAGAAAGCATGTGTAAATGCGAAGCAGCGGGCGCTATTGCTTACTTTAGCGGCGACGTTCACGCTGGCGCTCATCGCGACGTTGCGCAGGAGAGAAACCTGAGGAAGCGCAAAGCACGCAGTGATAGAGCGGTGTTTCTATACTGCAACATGCCAGCCGCAGCTAATGGGCAGTGAGAGACAGAAGACTCCAACACAAAGACCCTAAGTCCCCTTTTAGTTAACACGCACGCTGCGAGCTTTTTTTTTTTTTTTCAACGATGCACAGGGGGAATCTCTCACTGGCACTACTTTGGAGTTTAAGATCCATTGCATATAATACGGGGTGGCCAGTGAACGGTTGTGCAGCGCGAGTAGCCGGTTTTTTCAATCAAGAAACTCGCTAGCGGACGCTGCCTGCGTCGGCGTTGCGAGGCAGGAAGGCGGGTGGGGGAGAAAGGGGGAGGGGACGCGCATGCGCAATGGTAGTGTAGAGACCGCGGGACATAAACCCGAGCAAAAGATACTCCGCATCTAAAAGCGTGGTATAGCAACCATATGCGACAGTTGACGATGATCACAAGTTTACATCTACGTACAAGTAAAGGAGTATACGTACCTGGCGACAGCCTGGTCTCGCGTGTCCCACGCCTTCTTGACTATCTCGTCCTTGGCCATGCGGCTGCTGCCCACGTCGTCGCGAAGCCTGTCCCGCTCCTCGTGCAGCGCCCGCAGCTCGGTGTCGCGCAGCGCCAGCTGCCTCTGCGCCTCGGCCAGGTCGGCGCTGCGGCGGCGCAGCTCGTCGCTCTTGTCGGCCAGCTCGCGCCGCAGCTCGGCCTCCTCGCGAGCGCGCTCGGCAGCCGCCTGGCACGCCTGGCACACGGCCTGCGCACGTCGTCGAAGGCGACGTCATTGGTGTTCTGTGGTGCGGGCCTAAGATAACTGAAGACCAGACTTTTATGTGCACGACATCTCTTACCGCTCCTCCGGCGAGCATGTCGTGCAGCAGCGCCCTCAGGTCGGTGACCACGGCGTTGAGCATGTGGGCGCTCACTTCGCTCGGGTCGAGCTCCTGCGGCGACGGCGGCACACCGCTGTCCGAGTTCGTGGTGGAGCTGCTCTCGCGCTGACGACGGAGCTCGGAGGCCAGCCGCTGCAGCTCCTGCACCGCCTGCGCCAGCTCCTGCCGAAGATGCTGCACCACATAACACCACCAGGAGCTCGAATCACATCAGCATGTGTGGGGAACTTGCATAGTGTACGCTATATACAAGTGGAGCGTCAATGTAACTGCTAAAGTGAATCGCGAACATCGTCAGCAAAGAACGAGGGTTCACTTTGGCTGTGCTGTAGCGGTCTTATCACAGCGGATTTCCATTTAACTCATTCATTCAAATGCCTACATCACTTGATGACCATTACTTTAGGGTTGAAAACATTACAGTTAGTAAATTCAACGTCAGAGCAACAATAATGCCAAGATGAAAGATAACGTTGCATCTACACTCTAAACACAACATAACACTCTAAAAATATGATAACGTATAAATACAGAAAAAGTTATAGAGAATAGAAACAATACAGTTCAATAAACAAGGTCAAGATTGCATACCTATACTAATTTTGAACACATTCTTTAACATGCAAAGTTTATTTTCACTTCTACTCCAACTGCAATGCGGCCAACCACGGAAGATAACCCGGTAGTCTATCTTACGACTTTACAAACAAAAGCAACGCGCAACTCCTTTGGACTGTATACTAATTTTACATCTATACGGACCCATTTCCAGAAAGGTTCTCGAGGGCTGTCAACTGATGTAGTAGCAATTCACTCTGCTTGGGCAGCCGTTCTTGTACTCCAACCGAATGAGTGACAACTGATGGAAAAGGGGGAGTCCAATTGAGTAATAAGCTGATACGTACTCCGCAAAAGGAGTCACCACTATCACGTTGTATGAAGAACCGTGTCGACCGCCGAAAAAAAACAAAAAAGACAAAAAACGAAACCATAGGCAATGTTCACGTTGCAACGGGTGAGCGCATATGTTAGCTCTCATGACTTGGGAGCTGAAGCGCAAAGACGCTACGCGCTTTATTTTTAACGACCCCTCGGGTCAGCGCGCAAACAGGTCAACGGTTAAACAGAGTACGCGTAATTCGCTAATGAACTTACGCAAAGATAAGAGGGCTAGAAACAAGTTTTCAGCGTTACCGAGATTCGGGTGCAAAATCCTGTCCGTTGTATAAGTTAACTGCTTCCTTTTTTTTATCGCAGTAGCAATTGATTTCCGAGACGCGTTAGAAATTGTTGACCGCATTAGAAACTCCCGACTCAGGAGCCAAGAAAATGGCGCGCAGGGAAATCGCGAAAGCAGAGGTTAAACGAGAGGGATAGAAGAAACTTTCTTTTTATGCCATAAAAGGTTTCTGTGCAAAAAGCTGTTGAGTTCATTTCGCAGAACTTTTTTTTTCTTTTGTGCCCCCCCCCCCCCCTTCTTTAGGGGCGAAGCTCCTTAAAGCGGCACCCGTTTGTCCCTCGTAGTAGTGCGTAACATGTCTTACGCTTTGACCTGCAAGGTGGTGCCGGTGGGAGATTTCTCCTGTGCGTTGTTGAACAATAAAAAATTAGCAGCGTGTGCGTTAACTAAAAGCCGAATTCTCCTGTCTTTCATTCCCCATTAGAAGCCATTGGCATGTACATTGAGCACTATCTGACAAGAAAGGGTAGCTACGTTATACTCGCTGGGCGTAACCTTCTTGGTTTTAGAAAGGTTTAGCTAGCGTTGGGCCGCAGTGCCATGAATACAGTGAACTAGTATATTGTCACGATGAGTCACAAGTACTGGGGGATTTATTAAACCACCGGGTAGCAATCTCCAGGACAATGCGTCAGTCGTGGCTGGCTCTCGAACAGAGAAGAAGCACGCGATCTTCTTTTTCCTCCAGATTGAGAGCCGCTCTTGCTGTCGACCCACTACGTGCTGGCGGCAATGTACCATGAACTCGAGGTGGTTAAAGGTGGGAAGTAGACACGAAGCACGAGCCGTGATGGCGGTGCTTCCATATGGGGAATATATGATGAAAAGATGCGAGATGGTGGTAGTTGAAGTGTTGACTAGACGGACGAATTGACACACATACAGATGCATGGACGGGCGCACGGATGGCTGCTCGGACGGATGAACGCATGGACGGACGCAGGGGCGAATGCATGGACGAACGCAGGGACGGACGTGCGGACGGACGGACGGACGCACGGACGGACACATGGACGGACGGAAGCAAGAACGAATAGACGGACGAATTCTTCGCCCACTCTCCATCATTCACTTCGTGGATATGCTGCCTTTTTTTTTTTGTATCGCTAACGTGATCGTCTACGCTTCTAACGCGATGGTAATATAAGTAATAGTAACTTCATAATGTGACGAGTAGAACTCATGCACGCTGATTCATGACCTCCATTTTGAGAATGAATGTGGGCAAAATGCTGTTTTGCGCGCAACACGCAAAATAAAACTCTGGTCCATTAGCGTGCGCAGGTTTCCGAGTCCAAAAGGCAACGCGCCTCACAGTGGATAAAATGAAAACAATGTGAATTCAGCGTCCACTTGCTTCTCAGAATGGAATGCCTTTGGTCACCGGCTTTCCTGACGTATACAGATGGAACGCAAACAGTTCTTGGAACACAACAGCGGGGCTTCGACCGCCATTATCGCGAAAAACCCACGTGGTAGTAACCATGCTTCATAAAAGATGATAAAGATGATGGAGCAGGTTAGACGCGGAGCAAGTCCCCCCCCCCCCCCCTCCACACACACACACTTGGAAAATTGATTAGGAGAGACGGCTGCCCCCTTCCTCTGCACCTTCGTGCGCGTCGCTTGTGGCTTGCATCGATCATGATGTGCGTAAGCTTTCGGCACACAGTCCTCGTTTATTCTTTTAAGTTTACTTATTTATATATTTATTTATTATCAATTATAAAACGGCACCACGAAGTATGCGTGAGAAAATCCTGAAGGATCACGATGCATATAAGCGCTGTTCACTCAAGTGAACAACTAATTCACATGTACAGAACACAACTGTATCCCCACGTGGCCGTAGCTAAGCAAGATGAGCACGATATAAGCACGATTATATACGAACGAACGTATCTACAATAATTGCACACCAGACGACGCATGTCCAGGCGGCACGCGGGCTACACGAAAAGCCGCCAGCGATGGAATAACGTCGCAGACGAGAATTCGTTAAAAATCATTAATATGGTTTGTTCATTAGTGAATGGGAATAATAGTATCTGGGGTTTGACGTCCTCAAAACCATGGACGATATTTGGTTATGTGGATAAGATTATGTGGGGTTTATCGTCCTGAAACCACCATATGATTGAGAGACGCCGTAGTGGAGGGCTCCGAAAACTTCGACCCACCTGTGGTTCTTTAATGTACCCGCAAATCTGAGCACACGGGCCTACAGCATTTTCGCCTCCAACGAAAACTCAGCCGCCGCAGCCGGGATTCGATCCCGCGACCTGCGGGTCATCAGCCTAGTACCTTATCCACTTGACTACCGCGGTGGGGCATGTTTATGCGGAACACCGCAGCGGAGAGTGCACAAATTTCGACCGCCTGGTGTTTCTTAACGTGTAATGGCGTGTACACTGGCCTCATATCGCCTCCACCGTGATGTGGCCGCCGCGGCCAGGACCAAACCGGCGACCTTCGTGGCCAGCAATCGAGCACCGAAACCGCTCATCCACCGTGTCAGACAACGTGCGGGAATTCATCATCGTCATCAGCCTGACTACGTCCACTGCAAGACAAAGGCCTATCCCACGTTCCGCCAGTTAACCCTGTCCTGTGTTTGCTGCTGCCAATTTATACCCGCAAGCTTCTTAATCTCATCTGCCCACCTAACCTTCTGTCTCCCCCCAACCCGCTTGCCTTCTCTGGGAATCCAGTTAGTTACCCTTAATGACCAGCGGTTATCCTGTCTACGCGCTACATGCCCGGCCCATGTCCGTCTCCTCTTCTTGATTTCAACTATGATATCCTTAACCCCCATTTGTTCCCTAATCCACTCTGCTCTCTTCTTGTCTCTTCTGTGCGGGAATTACCTATGCCTTAAGTGATATGATACACCGCTAAAACAAGGAGGTAACTATATAGTCAGAACGGCATTTTTTTGTCTTTCTTATAACCAAACTACAACGCTAAAACCAATCAACCATTATTATTTTATTTTAATATAGCGACATCTATTTAGCGTTACGCAATCCTATGGAAAGTGTGCGCTGTTTCTTTGGCGAATATGTGCCCCATGGTCGCGAGCAACGTACGGTGTGTGTGTGGCTGCATGCGACTGAGCTGGCACAAGTGCGTCGACCAAGAAGAAAAAAATCTCTTCCGCTGTCGGCCACCCCGTATCCACAACCACTCGATTCTACCGCAGATAAAAGTACCTCCGTTCGTGTTCCGCCCAGGAGTGCGCGCGCGTAGCCACAGAGGAATACCGGTCAGTCCAAACAATGAATCTTCGTGATCAGCGAAACAAACCGTCGGAAGGTAGACGCCCTGGGAAATCGCTTCCGGGCAAGAACGCGCGTGCGCCAGTGCTAATCCAGCAGTCCCGAACTACCAAGCTCACTTGGTTCGGCCGCTCCGAGTGTGGCCAGGAAACGGGAACAATTAAAGCTTAAGGGAACGCGGGTAGCAACCTTAGCGGTCACGCTAAGGGCCGATAACGGACGCCAGTGGATTTCCTCCGGCTGGTTTTAGCCCTGTTTCACATTGTTCCGAGGAGGTCGACTGCACGCGCGCGAGACCAGTGAAATGAGTGCCACGCCGCGAATACAGCGCACGACACAGGCCGTGCGGTAAACACAAGACGTATATACACGTCTTCGGGGGCAGTCTCGAGAAAAAACAAAAACACGCCCTTATTTTTCGAGTAGAGCTTATGTGGAGAGAGTGGCGACACTGTGTGCTGAAGCCATCTGCTTCCTTCTCTGTTGTTTCCTCGCGACTTCGAACGGCCGCATACTTCGCCCACTGTGGACGGTGCACAACCAGTAGACCGCGCGTGTGTGTATACCTACAAATCCGCTCACAAGGCGGCGTATAAAGTACCCACTAAAGGCTCGCCGGCACGGAAGGAGAAAGTCTTCCAGTTTAGCCCTCTCTCTTCCTTTCATCTGGCCTCAGAAACCAAAGGCGCCATTACTGCTTCCCCCTTGCTGCGCAGGCGCACTGAAGCGTGCCCGGAGGTTTGCCTGCAATATGCCTCCTTTCAATAGTGCCTCCCAAAACCTCCGTGTGCGTGGAAACGCTCCATTTGTTCTCGCTGTCGTGCGTTTTCGGGCGGCGGGCTTCGTTATCAGATGGACGCTCATGACGCTGACCTCTTTATTTCTTTCTCTTTCCCTCCTCGCTTGAGTCTTTTAATGCCGCTGTTCGTTTCGAGCACGAGGAAGTGCGTAATTGTGGTGGCTCTTCGTGACTTTCACTTTTCTGGTGTTTGTTGTTGCCAATTTCTCTCCCCCCCCCCCCCCCCCATAGTTCCGCAGTTTACTTACGGCACACTGGGCCGGCCATTTTCAAGTGCTCTGAATACATTCAGCTGATTCATCCGGAGCACAATGCTCCGGCTCGGGTAGCTGTCATACGCTCTCACTACGACGGCGCTCATATCTGATCACATCACTGATCCAGCTTTACGCATGCTTTACGTTCTTGCGTGACGTCAGCCGCGGCACCTTGCTTGTTTGCAGTGGAAGACGCTGTGACACACCCGATCGCTCTGGTGTGAGTGAGGCTACAGTGTTAGGCTGCAAGTTGGGATCAGGTGCGCTCTTTCTGTGGCTCGGATCAAGAGTGGGCTCGGCATTGTTGCGATCCGAGTGAGATGCCCCAGTGGGGCGCTGATTTTGCATTCACTAAACGTAAATACTAAAATGTATGATTTTAATGATAAATACGTCCGCTTGACAATTGTGTTTGCTTGCTAAGCGATAAACGTAACTAACGTAAACAGTCACAGAATCAGTGATAACTAACGAAAAAAAAAAAACGGCCGGCCGTCTGGACGCACGGATGGACAGATGAACGGAAGCACGAATGGAGGAACGGACAGACGGAAGCATGGACGGATAGACAGACAGACGAACGGACGGATGGACGCTTCGCCCCACTCATCATCATTCACTCCGTGGATATGCTGTGAAAATCGCTAACTCCATCTAGTTATAATATATTCCAAGGACATATACACACAACGCCATCTATTGAGCAATTAATAAACTAGACGTGGCTACATACTACTACTAGTACTACTACGACGACTACAGAGAAGGGAACGACCCATGGTCTAAGGAGCTACGCCCCTAAAAGATTGCGGGTTCAAGAAGGGCATGTACGGAAACGGAAGACTATACGTTAATATATATATATATATATATATATATATATATATATATATATATATATATATATATATATATATATATATATATATATATATATATATATATATATATATATATGTATATATATATATCCATGTCAAATCCATGCGATATATCCATGCCATATCCATGCGATATAGTCACATGTCGGCTTCTTTGAAAAAAAAAAAATACGAACTCGCAGCCGTTGAACTTGGTAGACCTCTCACCTAAATCAGCTCCTCGCAGTATATAACGCGCACCTTTCTCGCTGCGTGGGGGGTCGTGCGGCGATAGAACTTGTGTCGCGGAAACAAAGGGCTCGGCTGTGCGAGACCGAACGGGGACATATCTCGAGGCACGTGTGCAACTGCTGCACGCACGTTTTCGTGCCCCGTACGCCGTAGACGCCCTTATTCAGGGCGTTTCTTCAAACTTGCACTAAGGAATAACAACAATAAAAAACATACCCGCTACTCGTATCGCATTTGCCCAGTATATACTGTTGTGAATCGTACGCGACACGTCCTATATATATATTTTTTTCAGTCCGCCAAGCTGTGTACGATAACAATATCTGAGCCTTTACGTACGTCCTAAAATTGCGTTAAGATTTTGAGGCACGCCGTAACGAGGGTTGAGGAACTTTCGACCGCCTGCTGTTCTTTAAGGAGCATTGACATCGCACAGTACCAATTCGCCGCCAACGAAACGCGACCTTCGCGTCCGGAATAAAAGGCGCGGCCTTCGGGTCAGCAGCAGAGAAGCGTAACCACTGATCTGCCAATATGGGTAATTAAGAAAGATTTGCCGAATTAACTTTTCAACTCTTGCGAAACATCTTCAATATATGAAAGCAGTAAGGCATGTTCAGAAACACCGGAATACTTCGTTTATGCTCAGATAACCGCCGATATGGGTAATTAATGAATATTGCCTAAATAACCTATAAGATGGTATGCGAAAAATATAAAAAAGAAAAGTTGCAACGCCTATCAGAGGCGTCGGAATATTTGGTTTCTATTCAGTTAACTGCTCTGCTGATTCCCTCCCCTCCCTTCTGCCGGGCTTTTCCTTACAAAGCGCTAATAAAAAAAAAAAAAACACTCGGCACAAGTTATCTGAAACATACCCTCCTACCTACGCCGCGAGTGTACCTATGACGCCGAACTCTCCTTATAACCATCTCAATAGCTCCCTCTGCAGCGTACACAATCTTCATCCCACTCCCACAACGCTTTGGTTCTCCCATCCTCCACGATGCTGCAGAGACCTCTGGCGCCGTTCTGGCTCCTGCTCGACATGTTCTGCGGACGTGACCGAATGGCTCTCGCGCAGGGGAAATCCCACGAGCAATGCACTTTTGCGGCTGGGCGAGCGTCGAGACCCGCGATATCGTCCGTCCTGGAACAGCTATAGCACACTCCGAATCGTTGTTCCTTCCCTTTCCGATATTTCTTTCGTATTGGGTAGGCTGGTAGAGAAATATATAGCGGCGACTTTCGGTGAACCACACGGTAGCGTCTTTTATTCATCGTGCACGTATACCGTCTTAGCTTTTTAAGAGGGCAGAAGAGCCACGTTCGGCGGACGCGCGGCGCAATATCCTTCTTTCCGCCTGCGGTTCCTGCCTCGCCTTTCTGGCAAAGGTACGGTTTCTCTCTTCTCTACAGAAGTACAGTCGTTGTTTATTCACAAGGAAGAAAGACCAACGCTGTTTCCGCGGGCACTTTATTGATTCCACGACTGTGATGCAACCGACGTGAACGACTCTGCCGGGTATCCAGTTCTTTTTTTTTCTCTATCTCCCTCAATAATTTCCTGCAAACGCCTTTCGTTTCATGCTCAAGAGCCCGGTCTTCATACAACTCAAGCCTGTCCAGAAGAAGCGCCAAGACGTGGCTACGCCTCCCCGTCCCTACGTGGTAGCGGCCCGCGATCTTCCCCCTGTGGTGGAATCCTCCACGACCTCAATAAAGTTCTTCATCCATCTATCTCAAAAGGCAGCGAACGATTGGCCGGCGATGGTATAGTGCGCGGGTAAGCACCAGTCGCTACGCGGTCGTGGTATAATTGTGCGCCGTCGACCTGGAACGCCTCGTGTTCCGGCGTGCTTCTCCGGTTTCATCGCATGCGTTTGCGCAAAAGGTGCTCGTGCGCGACGGATAATAGCGCGGCTTGTCATGGGGCTCGCGCCAAAAGCGCGTTTCGGCGTTATAGGATACGTGTATATCTTACACGACCGATCGAGCCGTCAATTTGGGATCACTCGTGGAGTCACGGTACACTTCTTACAGCAGTACTAATAATAGACACTTGCTGTCGTGCGTGAATAACCAGTACGACCAACCCCAGAAATGCTGCAATTTTAAGCACGTCCCGTATGATGGAGATTAAAATTTGAAAAAAAAAATCTTTCACTCTCAGTCTAAGGACGTGTTTATTGTATTGAGAGCTCTCTTCTTAACTTTTATGATTGATTGATTGATTGATTGATTGATATAATTGGAGCTTCGTTAATAAGGGCAGCTCACAGCAGTCAGCTAGCTCAAACAGTCAGTGGAATATATAAATACTACAATCCTTAAGAACTATAGAGCTCATCGTGAAAAATTGAGCAGCTGTTTGTTGGCAATATCACGGGCTCTCACGTCCAAAGCGCGGCGAAGAGAAAACCACTCACGAAAGCTTAGGTGATGTTTTCAATGACAAATAGCGCTATAGAGGAAACTGCCGCCACGTATAGTTTCAATGTGTCTCGTTAATGAAACGTTTTTCAACTACCATAATGGGTCATTTTAATAGATTTAGTACGTTTCGCATCATTTTCGTGCAACGTTGTGACGCATCATGCGAAACGTTTTCAGAGTAATGGGAGTTACGAGCAGCGAAAATGCACGCGTGGAAATGGCAGGAACGACTGAAGCAACGAAGTGTAGCGCTCAGGGAGATGCAGTATCCGCACAAGAGGGGCGAGAGAGAGAGAAAAAGAACAGACCTTGTCCTCGTCAGTAGCCAGGTCGCAGTCGTCGCACTCGATCTCGTCGAAGTCCCCCAGAAAGCCCGCCGATGAAGAGCCCAGCTGCGAGGGCTGACGGCTGCGACGGCCCTGCAGGTACACACCGAACGCGCATCATTCACGTGGACAGGGACAGTGCGTAACAAGCAGCAAACACGTATACTGCAGCAAATTCAGCAAGAGATGATACTAAGGACAGCTTTCGAAAAGCTCTGTGACAAGGAATAAAGCCCACGAATAAAGCCCACTGCTGAGCTGTTCTCGTTTCTGTAAGCCGTCAAGGGCAAAGCGATGTCAGTAGAAGCCACGAAAAGTAGCGAAGGGTCGCTGGACATAGCACGCGGTTTCCCACGTTACTCGCAAACGAAACGTATACTCCGAGCGAGCGTTGCATGAACTGCGCAGCAGTGATTCGCCTGTGTTTTCCTTTGTGTTTATCTTGTGCCTATCCGCTTTTTTTTTCTGTTCTTTCGTGTTGTTTTCGAGTGATTACGCGATACTTTCTTCCTCTTTCTGTTCTTTCTCTTATGATCGTCACATTTGTTTTCTGATTATCTGGTTTTTGTTCTACGGCGTCCTTTCTCTTGTTTTTCCGCTTGTTTGCTACTCCGAGAGTAGCGCATCGAACTCCCGAAGTGGTACCTACACAGCACCCAATGAGACAACCACTTCGCGGTCTCTTAAGCTGCCCCACTGTCAACAGAGATAAAGTTTGGTAGGAACGTGCACTATGAAAATACATATATGCAGAAGATAAACAAAGCGAAGAACACTCTTACAACAAGTATCTAGCCGACATGTAGTCTTTGCATACGTTGACAGACCTCTCCGCAGCTTTGGTGAAATGTGGAATGAGCCGGAAAGTATACACACGTGCTCACCGGCGCTTTTAGCCGCATTCGCGTAATTGCTGTGACTTTTAAATGGCGGAGTGCTCCCGCACTTTCCTCATTAAGCAGTGACATGTATAAGTTCTCGCATGAACCACACGGAATGTCAACATACGGCACATGAGCTTTTCACTGAGTAGCGTCTTTTTTCTAATGGTCTTCGCATGGATACAGATGCCTGTACACTCAAGAAAACAGAATGGATTTTTTTTTTCGAATAGCATTTTGGCCTCCCAGTTGTTTATAATTTTAGGGCAGTGTGACGACTCAGCAAGTGCTATCAGTTAACTCATGAACTGCCTGTAAACATGAATGTAAGTTCGCCGGTTTTGTAATTTCTTTCCGAAAATCACAACGCCTGAAACCACATGTGCCACCGCAACGGGTACAATGATGATGTTCTAACACGGTCAGTGTATGGTAGTCTGAAACAGGACGCGTAGTTTTTGTCTTCACCATGCAAGCATTGATAATGTATTCATCTTCAAGACCATACATTCATATCCATGGCCATTCATCTCTATACGACCACGCATTGATCTCCAAACAATCAGCAGCGTTCCTGAACAGATGCAATGAAGTGTCGAACGAACATCGCGTTTATGTGCAAACACCTACCTCGCGAATGAATTTACGCCCCACTGATCTCAAGTGTGAAGGCACGAGCAACGCAGCGTGCGACAAGAACTGCTCATTTGCATATTACAGGGAAATGTATAACATGCTTCTCAGCGGCGCACATTAAGATGCCCAGTGCGTTTCATACGGGGCAGAGCGCCTCGTGTAGTTTTATAAAGTGTGCATCTCTATAAAGTTTGGCGTCAGGATATCCGAATTTAACACGACGTAAGTTCGCAAAGGGAGGTATACATACCGCAGGTGAACGTGCACCGCGCGTGGTTGTCGATACACCCACCGACCGGCAATTATGCAAATGATGCAGCGCCGATGTATCTACCAAGTGTTATATACATGCACTCTGAAGTGCCGTAAACTCTGAGCAATATCAATCAGACGGGCTCACAGAGGACGTCTGTAAGCTCACTTTCATTCTCGCTTACTCACTCGTGCATAATTACTTTCTTACCCAGCTGACACACCCTATATACACTACTGCTGGCCGAAGTATTTCAACGCAGAGTGTATAGATACGGCAGCACTATATACGGTGTTTAAGCAAAGCGGTACCGCTCCGTAATATCGCTACCATTCAGGCAGTCCGTTAACATTGTGCGTGTTTCAACCTAGAGGCCGGGCTCACGCACTGAGCGGTTTAGTTTTACTGGTGGACAACTTCATCCAGTCGTGAAGTAAAGCTTCGGAATCGAAGTGTGCGAGCATGGTGCGGTCGCTGCTAAAAATAGCCCCATGATTCAGCTGCGCGTCTTTCATTACGAGAGCGTATGCGCTTCATTTAACTACAGCGTGGTAACTTAAAGATAAATGACCATGGGTCAGCGCATTAATAGAGTTATGGGCCAGCTTTTAGAACAAAATTCACGCATTATAGCGCCAATAACCACATGGACGGTGAAAGATCAAGATGGGGCACAGTACGTAGATGCTACAGAGATTTTTTTTTCTGACAATTCTTTTGAGTTTGCATTTTGTTTTTTTTGTATTTTGCGATGCCGTTTAGAGGCCCTTTAAAGAGCCCCCGCAGCTACACTCGAAACTATTCCGGAGATACGGACTGTCTAATAATTATGTGGTTTCGGCACGTACATTCTCAGGATTCGCTCAATTAGCCGTTGTGGTGTTCAGAAGTTGACCCGAAAATCGCCGGTTTTACTTTGGCCACCGCATTGCATTTCGACGTAAGTGGAACGCTATAGAGGCCCGTGTACTGTGCAATGTCGGCGCACGTCGACAAACCTCAGGTACTCAGCATTATCTAAAACCTTCCACTGCGGAGTCTGTGTATACCATAGCCTGAGTAACGGTACCACGAGAAGCCGATGAAGCAACAATTTTCTTTGAAATGCGAAAGAGTCGTTATCAATGCGTCTACGACAAGATATACGCGTTTTACGATATTGCAAATGTCTTATCAAGAATATACTTCTTTTCGTTATGTTTTACTGTGTCTTTTTTTCTCTTGTTTTCATGGAAGTGTACTTAATCAAGTAGCGTATATGTTAACCCACTTTATTCACTTAATTGCATATTTATTTAGACAACTGTTAACGAATTGTTATAGGCCTAATCAGTGTTGTGTGTTTTCATGTTCTAACGAAAATTTGAATTAAAAAGACATGATGGTGATGAAGATAATATAGGCACGACCCTGCCGAACGTATGCTTACTCTGCAAACTATTTGACGACTCGCACGTGTGCAGACAAAAGCAGTGGCAACTACGAATGCAATGTTAACGAACACCAAAGGACGTTTTCAACGTCATTGAGTGATCAGGCTCAGCATCTCTCTGTCTCTCTCCCTTTGCTTTCTCTCGTGCCACCTTTTTTTTCCCGCTTCACTCAATTTCGACAAGTTCCACCTTGCACACGCTCCAAGCTAGAGCGTAATTCAGACACATCACGCAGCGAACGCGCGGGTTTAGTCGTACGCGTGTCATTGTATGCTAATGAGGTCCAAGAAAACAAAGCGCCCATGCGCGCACATCGAGCAAGCCTGTGTGGTCGGTGTTCGTGCAGTAACACGATTGCACATAACTGCCCTAAGTCACCGCAAGCTCGAGAGTGTCGAGATTGCCAGCTAGCCGAGAGAATATGCAATAATCGAAGCGAGCCACGAAACAAAGGACTGGGCCACAAACCATTGTGTCATGTCGAAGCGTATAAATTAATTATGATTTTGCAATGAAGCTCACCGTCAAGTCCATAGTCACGAACAAAACAGGGCGGTGTGCAACGTAAACACTGCGTTCTTGTTCATGTCCACCTAGCAAATCTGGCTCATACCTATGTATACATATATACTGCGGTGGATTGACCATGAATTGGGTACATTTAACAAGTAACGTAAATATCAAGAATGGGAAAATTACAGTATAGAGATGTGTTGTGTGTGAGCTTCTCCTGTGCGCCCCGTCTAACTTTTACGCTGCTTACCTACAGTAATACAATATAGACTGCATATTATTTATTAAATTTAAGCGCGAGATACGAAGTGAAAAAAAGATGATAGATATAATGAAAAAATTTTCTTAACGTTACAGCTCCCCCTTTACGGTGGGAGATAAGTTCGTCACCATGGACACGCCATCGACATGTCATGTAATTACTTTTTGTAGTATTATGTTTCTTAAAGTGACAGTCTATTTTAATGGGGATACACATAGCTTAATAAAAACAGACCTGCGATAACAATACCATGATGATATAGATGCCGATTATGTTAAATCACTAAACGGTACGCACCCGTAATGGAGAAACCTATCACTCCACTGTCAGTTATTCGTTGTTTTTTTCCTAACCTCGAAAAAATATTTCAGTCATATAATAAGAAAGATTATGTGTGTTCTGCAGTCTGATCATGCAGACAACTTGGAAAAATTGTCGCAGAATTTTGCCAACGAAAAACATTTTGGCATTAACAGCAAGCGTACAAGAACGGATCAATCTCTTTAGCAGAACGTCCTGGCAGGTGTGTGTGCCCGTTACGCCCTCATGCACGTACAAGCCACGCCATGTCGCGAGAAGAACCGTCATAAGTTTCACTGGTTAGCACCAACTAATATTCCAACATACCGAAACAATAGATCTCGCTACTCCCATTTTCAGTAATTGTATTGCATTCCGTATAGACATCACATTGCGGCCTCCGTGACAAGAGAACAAAATACGCAACTACGAACACTTAACACAGAGCTACAGGCACAAGCTTCTAAACAATAGACGGCACATACTGATCGTGCTTCGCGCTGGTTGAAAACCCGAATTACCGCGTGCCTCGAAACATCGAAACAAAAAGGCCCATGACAATGGTCTATTGACACGATAACGCGCACTCCTTACGTACCCCCAGTAAACTTGTGACGTCATCGAGGGGAGAGGGTGCGCCGGGCTCCGAAGACTGGTCGTCGTCGCCGCATCGCAAGCCTTCGCGAACTACGGAGCGGTCGGCACTGTCCGCCGTACGCCAGCAAGCGTTTTGTTCCGGCGAGCGAACGCGCGCTTAATCGGCGCACACTAGTGGCTCCGTTTTGCCGCCGACCGGTTCGGATCCAAAGGCCGATAAAAAGTAAGGAAAAGAAAAAAAGGTTTGGAAACTGGTTCCACTTTCCGCGTAATACGTTGTATGTCTGCTCCGGCCTGCCTTTGTAAAAGAGCTTAGCGACGGACCTGTCGATCGCCGCGCGGACTCGCAGTCCTCGCAATTCGATTGTGGCGGCGCGCTTGGCGCTCATTTGCATATACGGCCTTCGCGATCGCGTTATTACTTCGCGCTGTGGATCAATCAGCTTTCCGAAACGTCCAACCACATCAACCGTCTCTCCGTTTCAGAGGTGGCCGAAGACTCGTGTGTGCGTTACGTCACAACGTTGACTGTAATGTTCCGTCACGGGGAATGCTTCCTCGCGTCCCGATTCGATGTTATTCAGATGCAACGGGTGCATTTTTTTTTACCTTATAGTTTTTCAGTGAGTCCAAAATATGGCGCTGCATTTACGGGTGGGAGTTGTGGCTGCAATTGAACGGTGCGGAAGGAACGCCTCATATCGTGTCACCAGATGTATAACCGAAAAAAGCAACATACATGAAATACAAAAGAATAAGGATCTTGTGGATGGCATGTGGGAAAAAAATGAACCAAGGTACTGTTTTTGTGTTGAACAGTGAATTCCAGGGTTTTATGTGCCAAACTGTCGTATCATTATGACGCATGCCGTAAACGGAGATTTGCGATTAACTTTCGAGCACCTGGCAATTGCTAATGAGCACTGAAATCGAAAAACCATGCACATTTTTGCGTTTTCATTTCGGTCCCGACGAAGTGCAGCTGCCGCGACAACAGGAGTTGAGTGAAAACTTGAGCGAAAGAAATAAACAAAAATTGCTTTTAAGGGATTGTTTTGCGAGTCCAGATGTGGTCTCCGTGTGCACGAACTGGCTTCGATCTTTGCATGGTTGAACTTATCTAAACGCACAGGAAAACAGGAAGGAGGTCAGTACATCCGCTTCCTCGCAAATAAAAAAAAGATATACACACGGAAGCTTATAAACACAACGCACAACTACCCGACGCACGCTTGACGAGAACGTTTTTGCAGGCTAAGCATAAAAACTGTTGGTTAAATATGGCGATAAACTATCACGAAATGCTATCAAGGAAAAACGAACCTTCGTCTGGTCACGCATACATCGGTGAACTGGTTGTTGTATTTGTATGTTTCCTTGTTCAGCAATTTTTTTTTAGTTGCGTGTAAGCGTTTATCTTGTTGTCCTTCCTTATTTTTTTTCTAAAGACGATAGTCTTTCTCTGGATACTTCAACGCCAAAATTTTGGTCTTGCTGTTTAGAAAAAATTTATTTCCAAAAACGTCAATAACACTCAACAGAACATTTCCTTCTTAGACATACTCTAACGATGATGACAAAACAGACGTCATTTACATGAACATGGATATGAGACGACGTTGGAAGAAATCTGTTTTTCCGTCTCTCTGCCTGCTACACAATTCAGCTACTTGGCCAATGTTTAGGCACTTGATGAACAGCCAGCCAGCTTGAACTGATGGCTGCGTTCATACTTGTAAACACTGTCGATGAAAAAGCAAATATTACGCATATCTGAGGTGCAACATCAATACCTAAGTGTTAGGTGATGTGTTTCTTTTAGATAATAAACATATACGTAATTCTAAATACTCTAGTGTTTCATAGTTTGCGCTGAAAATGCGACGCTATGCACGAAAAAGCCCTCTGCTTTGCTGCAAATATCTTTCGATGACATTTGCAACAAAGCACGCGATACCCGGTCATTTTTTTTTTAACCCTTTCTTAGTTTGTGTGCGCTTAGGTCAGTTAAACCATGCATTACAGCCAGCTATAGCCTAGTTTTCTATTCCCTTGTTCGATCTTTGCGCTTTCCTCCTCGAATTTGCAATCGCCCGATGCGGTGTAATAATACTGCTATACGCAGCCAAGGAAGGCGAACGCGCGAAGAAAGTTCGATCACTCTTACCGCAACCACAGGCGACGGTTAGCTGTCTTGGGCCTGCGTTTCGTGTACGTCGATGCAACGAACCTGCCTCTCGCGCGGCGCAGCAGTCGATACAATCATCAGAACTGGGCGGGAAGCGCGAAGGTCGCGACATGCAACGGCCCCGCCAGGCACTTGCCGCCACTACTTCATCGACTTTGCTTTCGCAGACAATAAGCAGGACCGGAGACAATGCGACTTCCATCACACAGGGCATCGTGGAAGGGGCAGAACCGACAGAATTTACCCGGACGGCTTCGTTTTGTTCTGTCGCCTAAAAGATTTTGGCTCATACTCACAAGGGGGATCGATCACACTGTACCTTATAACGAAAATTGCAATGCAATGCTTGTTAAAAGATAGAGAAATCAGATAAGAACAAGATGCATAATGTAGATAGAAAAGAAAAAAAGAAAGTGAAAAGGGCAAGATTATTCGAAAAGCCTGATTTTTACAGATAGCAAGAAAGAAGAAGGGGACGGTTGCGTACAGGAAGTGTCGTAATCATTTCTTGTTTTTCTTTTTTCTTACGTGAGAATACAGATAATCTAAGACGCTGCGTTTCATAAGGTGCTACACCTCGCAAGCTGGAAGGAAACGCCCGAAGGAATGGAGGATGGGGTCACATTTATTGCTTGTTAAGACATGATAGTTGATGCACTTCTTCTTCTTCTTCTTCTTCTTCTTCTTCTTCTTCTTCTTCTTATTATTATTATTATTATTATTATTATTATTATTATTATTATTATTATTATTATTATTATTATTATTATTATTATTATTGGTGTGTTAGTCCAAAAATCACGATATGATTATGAGAGACGTTGTATAGTGGAGGCTTAGGGAAATATCGACTACCTCAACGTGCACCTGAACTGACACACGGGCATTTCGCCTTCATTGAAACGCGGTAACCACGACCGAGATTCTTGGTGCACGTTAAAGAACCCCAGGTGGTCAAAATTTCCGGAGCCCTCCACTACGGCGTCTCTCATAATCAAATGGTGGTTTTGGGACGTTAAACCCCACAAATAAATCAATCAATCAACGACCGAGATTCGATCCCGCGACCTTCGGGTCAGCATTCAAGCACCATAACCACAAAACCACCGCGGAGGGTGACAGTCGATGCACTTACCTTGCTATAAATAATGCACGAAGTAGTCGCTACATGAAACCAATAACAAAATAATCCCAAATTATTAGTACATCGCGGAAACTGTTGCTGTAACAACCGCAATATTCATTCACTTGTTCTTGTCGCATTCCTGGTGCAACTCGAAGATTAGTACACAAGTGCACACACACCACTGCAATACGGTAGCGTACAGTAGCACTAGTGTCGAATGAAAGCCAAAAAGCTGCTATCATTTGTGACGGCCAAGGGCGCGCTGTCCTGTTATCACCACCGGCGGGCGCTCGTATGCACAGTGTTGCCAACCTGCATGCGTGCGCCCGTCATTCATGATGACTGTAGGGCGGGCGTTCTAACCATTGCGAATGCTTGCCGTTGTTCGGGCTTCATTTGACGCCGATGGTATGGTATAGTATAGGATAATGCGGTATAGCATATTGCAGACTAGAGTGAAGTAAAGTACAGGGTAGCATAATACAATACAGTACAGGAAACAAAGTACTACGTACAGTATGGTAGTAGACAATGGCCGACACTCACCATGCTGCCGGCCTCGTCGTCGGCCGACGAACTAGACGACATCTCGATCTCGTTGAAGAGCGACCTCTGCCCCGCGTTCAGCAGGCCGTTGAGCAGGGGAGACGAGGTACGCTGCCTCTGCAGGGCGTCCACGCGGTCCTGCAGGTGGCCGTTGGCGATCCTCAGCTCCTCCATGTCCCGCTGCTGCTGCCGGATCTACGAGTAGAAGAAGAAGAAGACTGCAGCAAGGCTGTTCCGGGTCACTGTGGATTAAGATTAAATGAATTGGCCGATTCCTTAGCACGAGCCGCACTTGATGGGCCAGTTTTGTCCATACTGCCAGATGTAGAATATATCATGGCTATAAGATATCGAAAATCAGCAATCTCCACTGATACGATAGAAAAAGTAATTACATGGACAGACTATAACCACCTCATGTTTCCATGGCAACCCCACTGGAGTCAGTCCAGAAAGCTCGAAGTCTTAATTACTAAATTTCGATGTCGTGTCCCCCCCCCCCCCTAAACCTGTATCTACACAGAGCTGGTCAGACAACATCACCCCTCTGCGCATTCTGCGGAGAAATGGAATCACTAGATCATTATTTTTTGTATTGTCGCCGCTACGAGATACTTAGAAAAAGGTTACTAGTTATGCCATTTCGGAAAATAGGCCTTAGATTGACGGCGGAAACGGCGCTAAGCTTTGGCGCCTCAGCTTTGGGACATTGCCACAGGGATGCTTTCAATGCCGTTTGCGATTATATTCAGGCAATCGCAAGCGTATACCTTTGTGATCTTCAATAAAAAAAATATATTTATTACTCTCAAGGGCAGAGTGAAGTAAACGCAGCTGAGTGGTAAACATAACACCTCAAATCTCAAAATTGCTCAACTTGATTTTGTTTCGTTTGCTCTTTTTATGTTGTTTTTATTTTTACATTAGTCTTATTATAATACTAATTCATTGCACATAGTTAAAATGATCACAGAAAAACTGCACTACACTTTCTTGGCCAATCCCCCTGAGTGCGTATGAGCCAACCTCCCAGGGAAACAAAACAAAACAAAAGGCTGTGGACACCCCCAGAGCGCTTCATATTTTGAAATTCACAATTGGCACGCCAAATCATAACTGACTAGCGTTCTTAGTTATGAAGCAATTCCGAAAGTATCGGAAAAATTCACCTTATATGCAGCTGATTCCCTTCATTGGGTCCGAGCCATGCGCAGATGAAAACAACAACAACAGCGCGGTGTGTTCCGTATTTCCTCCCGAACCCATAGTTCGTTATTCTCTACAGAGATATGACGCCATATATTCACTGGACGATGAGTACTTGGGCAAGCGAAGTGGGAGTCACCGTTACATTACTATATTATACGACTTGCGGATAGTTATGCAAACAAGGCAAGGGTTGGGAAAGATAAAAAGTTTGGAAGATGAAGCTATAAGGACTCAAATATTTAGTTCGTAAATACACACGCCGTTGCAAACACACACGTTCGTGAAGACGCGTTCGTAAATAGACGTTCGCAAACACACACGCCCGGTGGGCTATTGACGTGGAGACTTACAATTTCTCATGACAAGGCCCTGCAATAGCAAGTGAGACACTCTTTTTTTTTTTGTCATCATTTGACATGGAGGTTGTCGTAAAACTTAGTTTCCATCCTGGCATCCTAGCCCCTTCGAAAATGGTCCGGACTTCCCAGCCATACTGCGCTGATCCGGCATGGCAACACAGCAGCTCAAGTGTTGGGCTGCTAAGCTCGAGGAAGAATGTTCGGCCGCCAGCCACGGTGGCGGCATTTCGATAGGGTTGAAATGCAAGAACATTCTTGTACTTATACTTAGTTGCATTTTAAGGAACCGTAGGTTGTCAAACCTAATCCGAAGACCTCGGCCACGGCGTGCCTCACAGTTACTGCGGCTTCGCCGCGTAAAAAACCTCGGAACGTAATTGACATTAAACGACGGTGCTCCCAAATGAAAGACGAAAAATATATAAACAAATAAAAAGCAAAGCAGTGTTCGTTGATCTAGTGACTGTGCGAACAAGATTGAAAAAGTGAGTGAGATGCGAAAGCCGTTGGTCGAGCTCATTTTCATCTCTCCATGTTGCAAGCAGGCGCGCTAATTGAGTTCGCAACGCGCGCGGGTGTCTGTCGCAGTTCGCAAGTGAGTCAGCGACTTCACCGTCCGACAACGCGAGCTGTAGTACGCGCGCAGTGAGTGAAACGAGTCGCGACGCCGTGCGCGAACGGTCAATTACGCGGCGCGCGTTCCGAGAGTCGTGCGAGGCGCAGCAGCAGCAGCAGCAGCAGCAGCAGCAGCAACAACAAACAAACAGGCAGTAACACGTTCACGCTCGCCAAGGAGGCGTGAAAATCACTCCTGTCAAGCGCGGCTCGCGTTCCTTCGACGCATCATCGTATACAATGCGCCGCCAGCGCCGTCTATAGGCGGCGCTGGAATTTCGAACGCTTCGCCACCTGCGAAACCGCTGCAATCACGAGGAAACATTACAGTTCGCACAGCGGAGCACTTTCTCCGTACGAAGTCAGAAAAAGTTAAAAACTAAAGAAAGAAAGAGGAAGAGTAGGAACAAACGCGCTTCCGGTTTCGACGGGGACTCGTCGTCTTCCCGTGTAGCGGAAGTGCATAAATGAGCCGGACACTTCCTCCTAATTGTCCCCGCGCGCGTCCGCGTAACGGCTAGCCGGATTTTTTTTTTTTCTTCCGCGTCGCCTTCAGCCCTGTCCCGTATTCCTCGAGATTACGCGTCTCTTTCAACCTCGCCCTCTTCTTCTTCCTCCTCTTTGTTCCTTCGGGCGAGTGTCCGACCAGCGTTATAGATAACACTCAGTACTAAGTGTAAGAAGATGAAGAAGAAGCAATGAAGAGAAACGAAGGCTTTCTTCTGCAATTTTTCACGTTTTTTCAAAGGAACATTATTATTGCTTCTATCTAATTTCTCTTAATTTTTTTTTAGCAAGCGTTGTAAAAAATGATCTATTATGAGGTACAGTGTGGCCAATCCCCCATGTGGGTATGAGCCAAGATCTCCTAGGAGACAAGACAAGACAAGACAAAGGCAAACAAGCAGGAACAGAGAGAGAGAGAGTGAGTGAGTGAGTGAGTGAGTGAGTGAGTAAACAGCGTCTGCGCGCCTCGCCGTTGCTCCAAGTGCGGACAACGCCTTCGTATTGTTCTCCGCGTGCCTCAACAACTCGCGTCGCCAAAAACAGGATTGCGCATACGTGTTTCTCTGTCGATCTCGTATATAATAACGCACCTCCGTGATCGACAGCATTCACGCCCCTGGTCTCGGAAGCGAAGGGTGCGGAAGCGGCGTGCTATACACTAAATGAGCGACGGTGTGCTATATACGCCCGAGCCGGCGTGCTACGATTGTACGTCACACCTGACAGTATACATATCGAGGTTCCCACTGACTGTACGTTCGCGTAGCCACGTACGTGACTTCACTGGCGGAAGTGGCGCACCCTCACGCCCTAGGATGCAGGTCCAATCAGGCGAGACGTCTATAAATATAACTCTTCCGCATTGTTCATTCAAGCATCTCTGTAGTCTGTTTCGATACAATCTCGCAGTGACGTGTTAGCTGTATCACGTGTTCCGATGCTCGAGAATGCGTGCGAAACTACGTCTGCAGCTCGGCGAACATTCACATGGCACAACTTTGACAAGCGACGTCTAAAAAAGAGTGCTGAAGAAGTGCATTCGTGTACGACCGCACTTCTTCTTGCCCCATTCTCAACTGCAATTACACCACCTACATCACCATTCCATTATTTAACAGATATGGCAGAGTACAAGCGTAGAATAGCGAGATCTTTACCGAGTAGCATGCCAGTGGCGGATGTCTTTCATTATCATTGCACTTGCAATTTAATCAAGTCCACACTGTCATCGCATGGGCTTCAATCACATATCTAGACAGCGGTGACACAAACACAAACAGTTCGATCTGTAGCGGTCGCGTCCCTTGAGAGACCAGTGGGATTACGCAGTTCTTTCCAGCCTCACCTGCGTCTCGTATTCGTGCCTCTGCTTCTCCAGCAGCAGTATGCGGTCCCCGGACTCCTCGAGGGACAGACTCAGGCTCTCGCGCTCGTCCACCAGTGCAGAGATGCGCCGCTCCAGCTCGGCCTTGCGCTCTGACAGGAGCGTGATCTGCGCGCGAGAGAAAAAAGCATAAGAGGTACAGTTAACCAGACATCGAACCGACAGTTATGCCGACTTTGCACGTCCGTAAGTGATGTGAAGATGCGAAAATCTCCCGTATACGACTAGACGGGGTCGTAAACGGTGGCGTATGCGTAAACTAAATAGTTTCGGGAGCACCGGTTAAGTAGGCCCTCAAATAGTTGTTAGGCCCGATAGTGGTGATTCAGTTCTTGCATCAGCCACTCACTGACGACTTCAACAGCGTCACGCACTTGCCTACGCACGCTTTATGCATCGTGAAGTTACATATATAGTTTCCGATTTGTCCTCTTTGATCGCTTCCGGCACATCGATCACACTCAAGGGTGCGCACAAGCCACGTATTTTCATTAAATTGATTATTGTAACTTAAGTTTTCCTAAAAAAAACTAGTTGTTTATCCACTGCACTTTGTAGAATACTAAAACACTAATGCAGTGTTTCACTGCATTGCTCCTCCAATGGATGGACAAACAAGCGACAGCCACACTCTGAAATTTGCGTGCGTGTCATTCACCAGAAAATGGATGACCTCCTACTTAAGGATGAGCGACGCGAAAAACCTCATGATCTTGGCTATGTAGGAGATCTCCACTTAGCTTCACGGTTGCCAGAGACTTCACTCGACAAATCGCTCGTGTCCACCCTACCAGCTTCGAGAAACATCATTTGTACCGCCACGCTGCTTTAAGCTGTATCATCGTCGGCAACGAGCATACTCAGTGTCAACAGCACGCATGTTTTTCGTAAAATATAGTCGTTCGGGCAGGACAGCAATAGGATGTAAAAGCTAAAAGTACACGCAAAAAAAGGAAAAATAAAAAGTCCGAAAAGCACGTTTTTGAAAGAGGGCTTCGCCGTAGAAATAATCTTGTAGAGGCAAAGCCAGCTTTACAAATGTCAGCTACACACGTTCTGACGCACACCAGCTCCGCAATAATCACTCTATTGGACGAAAGAAACAGAAGAAAAGAAAAGTAACAGTTCGAAGGGCCTAAAACTCACCCCACAGAAAAGACTATTATGTAGCGCTGACTTACCCCCCTTACTTTATTTGCTTCAACTTTTTCTGCACAGAGCCCCGCCGTGGTGGTCTAGTGGCTAAGATACTCGGCTGCTGACTAACAGGTCGCGGGATCGAATCCCGGCTGCGGCGGCTGCATTTTCGATAGAGGCGAAAATGCTGTAGGCTCGTGTGCTTGGACATGGGTGCACGTTAAAGAACCCTAGGTGGTCGAAATTTCCAGAGCCCTCCATTACGGTGTCTCTCGTATTATCCCATATATCAATCAATTTTCCGCACAAAACACATAAACACCGCGCATAAGCTTGAAAATGCTTGATGCTATCGGTTCTGGAAGAATGGCGTTTGCTCGAGATAGTAAGAAGTCAAACGAAGCTCGTACTCAGTTTTACAGCCCGCCCCGTTAACCACAGCTGGTAAATGATGATTATAATAACATTTCGCAGCTTAGCTCCTACCAGAGAAACGCCAAACTGGTCGAAGGGACATGAAGGCTCAATCGTCAATAAACAGCGCTGGGAAACGCGTCGGACCGGTCGGCCCACAACACCGTTTGTGAATACGAATGCAACTTGCGCCTACACCTTTGCAATCCGCGTAGCCTTTCGCACGAAGAGGCTCTTTTGTTTTCATTTTGTAATCGATGAATATCTGAACTAGACGTTCGAATCCTTTGTCGGAGGTTTTCTTGAGTCTTGTAATCACCGCGTATTGAGGTCCAACTTCTGATGGTTTGTACCGCTAGCCTGCGGAGTTGATTAATTCTTTGTTATATACCGAGTATTTCACCCTAGGTGTTCCTAAAAATCATAGAATTTCGTTCCTCACGAGCTGCAGTCCAGAACTCAAACACAGAAGTACACAGGTCATGCCAACGTAACTCGCCTCGCTTACGTCTGGTATATGCATCCATTGAAGACGCAGCGCACAATGTGTCGTCCCAGCACAACCGCATATTAAAAGTATAAAGCGGCATCTGGTCATTTCTACACCACGTAGTTATTCACGTTGACCCATTGATGAGGGTAACTGTATTCTCTCATAGGCGAAGTTGCACACAGGAAGGCGAGTGTCGTGGTCGCGTCTCTGGCCACACCGACTCGACCTCTCGTGTCAGTCCCGCACACGACGACTATAAGGTCAGTAGTCGGGGCTACCTCCAGCCGAGCCCCTGTCGAGGGCGTGTTTTTTTTCGCATCGCTGTCACAAACGCATCGATGGCTGGACCAGAAAGAAAAGGTTACTCGCTAAAGTATACACCTACCACTTAATGCCATAGTTCAGCAGCGTCTCCTCGACTCCCTGATATTCTCCTTGAAGGAAACAAGGAACTCTTTGGAGAAAGACAGTCGGAGGAAAGAGATCGCGTAAGCAGGAACCGTACATGAAAACGGCGACCGATGTCCGCGGGATTTTTTTTTTCATGGACATTCTTGTGTGACGCGCTGAGGCGTCCATAAAAGTGATGGATAAGTCCGCGGTCGCTTCCGCATGTCCCAACGACCTGGACTGCCAATACAGTGTGTGCGCTGAGACTGTATATACACGGCGACGGTGGAAGCGTCTAGTTAAAATTTTAAAAACATAAAAAACACGTCCGCGCACGGACAAAAGCGGCCACATGTTTTGTGGATGGTTTATACACGCATCGCTGGACGGGAAAAACGGCCACTCACTGTGGTCTGTGGGTAAGTCAGGGCGATTCACAGACCGTTTATGCTTCTGGCTGGCCTCCCGTTCTTTTTAACAGCTGATGCCGCTGTACAAAAAATAGAAAAAAAGAAACGTGAACGCACAGACACACACAGTGTCCCACAGACGCCATTCTCAAGGAGACCGAATGACGTAGGAGTTGAGGCTCTGAGCCGTGACCCGAGCCGCCGAATAACAATCTTCCGCGTTGGAAAGCCGGAGTCATACGGCGTTTACAGCAAACAAATTTCGGTAACAATAACCACAGTGGTGTTGGAGTAGCCTGAGGAGGAAATGGTCAAAGCGTGCCTCTGTGAAGTACATAGCAGCTCGTTTTTCTTCCGTGAGCGGAATATTCTAACAGGCAAGCTTACTGGCGCATGGTTGAGAGCACTCTCAATGTGTTAGGCCGGAAGTGGTCCAGTGACACTTTGAGCGCACTGCGAACTGCCGCAGTAGTGTGAGAACGTGAATCTCGGCATATTTAACGCGTCCCTCGCAGTGATTGACTATTCGAAATGCACTCGCGCGGTACATAACTCACAGCGCTATGCATTCGCCTAAGACAACACAAAGCCGAAATCTGTTTCCTTTTTCTTTTCCCTCGCAGTCAATTTAAAAAGAAAACTCTCGGTGCAATTCAGCCGCACAAGGCAGTTAAAAAAGAAACGGAGTTCATGAAGAACTCCGCTGTCCTGCTGTTCGGTGCCTCGAACGAAAACGAGACATTGATTATGACAAAGAGTGTCCACCGAGATATGATCACGAGCTTATCTGAGTTAATCGTGCCAATAACACGCCCCACATGATTCAGAGTGCTTGAATTTTTTCAGCTGTGCCACCTAGTATTCCGAAAGCACAAACGTTTGGGCGAGTTGGTTTTGCATAGCACAACACTGTCGATCGCCCACAAACAGGGACAAAGGGAGGTGATGACAGCGCAAGCTCTTTGTGCCCTCATCACCTTCCTCTATCCTTGATTGTGTGAGCTTTACATCACCTCACTGTACTGAGTGAGTCATTCTGGCCGCCGTAGTAGCTTGGTGGCTACACTGCTGGGGTCAGGGCGTGGGGGCGAACCGAAGCCACGGCGGACGCATTTCGATAGAAGGCGACATGCTAAAACGTCAGTGTCTTTGCATATGGATACTGCTAAATATGCCCAAGGCAGACGAAATTAAAGCGGAGGATTCCCACTAAACAAAGGTTGCGGAATTTTCGCGCTGCACAGTTGTTGCAGAAGAGACACTTACGGAAGCACAGAATAACTCAATCCGAACAAGTGGGCGCGGTCAACTCAATCAGAACAAGGTCAACTGCTGACCTTGTCAAATTCCGCGACCATTGTTCACATTGTACTAACCAACCCAAAGGAGGGCTTTATTGAAATTCCCTTTACGGGACGCGAACGAAAGCAGGGGAATCGATCAACGGCTCGCTTTTTTGCTGGACACTGCCTTACGAAATCCGACAGACAATGAAGCGAAGTAGAATGTGTAGAGTATATTATTTGTAATATTTGACTTACATAGTGCAGTAATAATGGCATAAATATAAATGAGTTGATTAATTTGCGGGGTTTAACGTCCCAAAACCAGCATATATTTCTTATTATATTTCTGAAAGTGAATGTGCTGGTGTCCTTAATGAAACATTTGTAAACAATTTTTCGCATAAATCCAACATCTCTTTGCCACACCTACCTTACTGCAATTACGTCCAAATGCCGCCAGTGAACATGGACGCTCCTGGTATTGCCGCCCTTATAAGCAATTTGAAGTTTCATTCTTCACCTGGTTATGACAGCGTTGACGCTAAATTTTTGAAAAATACATCTGCAACTAGCTCAATCATCTTGGCAAAAATTTTTCAGCAATCTCTCGATCAATCTACGCTACCTCTTCAATGGAAAATCGGGAAGGTGGTTCCTATCTATAAATCCCGAAATAAATGTTCTCCTACTAACTATCGCCCCATTTTCCTTACTAGCACTTGCTGCAAGCTTCTAGAACATGTATTATTCACAAATCTTGTAAATTTCCTCCATTCAAACTCCTTTTTCACTCCTGCGCAACACGGGTTTCGTAAAACATACTCCTGTGAAACGCAGCTCATAACCTTCACTGAAAAACTGCACACTATCCTGGACAGTTCGTCTCAAGCAGACTGCATTTATTTAGATTTTTCTAAAGCATTCGATAAGGTCTGTCATCAACTTCTACTTCACAAACTAAGTAACCTCAACCTTGAT